TCCAAGCACCAAGCCCGGCAAGTCCTCATTCACAAGTCCAGTCTGAGGCAGTCGATTCCCCTTCTGCTGGAATTATCGCTGGAGAGGCAGTTAAGCAAGCTTAGTGTGAGCTGACATGCAGCAGACTGGTATATATTGGCCATTTTTATGTTGAGGTTGAATGATACAGAGATCGATTGATACCCCCTACATATTTTTGTGCAATCCGGGGGATTCCAAGGAGAACTTGGACAACAGTAGCTTTGCTGCCCTTTCTGCCTGGAGGTGAGATGATGTGTAAGACCTTGAATCTTCTTGTCAAGCGCACAAGTTATGGGCCGCACATGGTGACGAATCAGCCACGAAGACCCCTCAATCACCTCTAGTTTGACTGGGCAGCTTGAGCTCATGTGATTAATACTCATTTATCAGGCCAAATCAGGCCACGACTCACGACGTGGATGTGAGAGTCAAGGACATTTCCCAGAAAACCAGCTACACAGGCAAGTCACTTCATAATGCTTCTTCATTCTCTTTTCACCTTCACTTGCTTTCAGCTTGGAGGCCATCGCTTCTCGGTTGGAGGCCGCTTCCGACTGCCCCGACTCGACTCCCCACAGCCGCGTTGCCCGTCGCGCCCGTCGCGCCTGGTCGGTCCTGCGAAGCAGGACTCGCCGCTCCCGGGGCGCGGTCCGGTCCGCTGCCAACGCAGCGAAGACCGTCGACGGTCAAAGAACACGCCAAGGACGCAACAGAAGTGCCAACGGGGTCGTGAGACAAGTGGAGACAGAGGTTCAAGTTCTTTTTATTTGGTTGATTTTGGTTACCGTTGGAACATCACCTGAGTGTTGCTTTGGTGTAGGGTGAGGCTTACTCTCTGCGTTTTTGTGCAGAGCTTGTCTTTCAACACCTGCGTTTTTGCTCAAGCTTCCACAGTGCGGATGGCCCAAGCCAATGCGCAAAATCTCCCAGCATGCTTGAAGGATGCTCGACATGTCCGATTTTAGGGATGAGCAAAGAAACACTTGCCAAATGATGGGTTACCCCTCTGGGCAAACAGATCGTATGGATGATTGTTCCCCTTCAAAAAAGGAAGCATAGCGGGCAGATCCACAAGTGCTGATATGAACGACAATCACAAGGCCTGTGCGGTGGTAAACCACAGGATCCGTGGATTGCCATTGACCAAGAACAGATTTGCAAGAGCAGGATTGCCGGGACGAAGAACACCCACCAATGATAGAGATTCTAGCCTTTATACAAGCCTTAGAAGTCTCCACTTAGAAGTCTCCAGTGCAGACCGGTCGCCACTCTGGAAACGAACCACCCCCACGCTCCAGTACCAACAGCGTTGCGGTGTCCAGTACAAACCACCCGTGCCGCAGAAACGCCGTGCAGTTAGAGTTACCGCGTGCCTATGGGCTAAATGGATGCGAGCTACTGCTGGCAGTGTCAGCAGCTTTCTCTTCCTCCTCACCCGCTGCTACTGCGCCACGTGGCCCGATTCGAGCGAGGCTCTGTGGGCGTGCTGCTGCTGGGGGGGCGCCAAAGCAGTGACCTTGAGCCACCAGTGCGGGACGCCGAAGCATGGCATGGACATGGCAAGAGAACGTGAGTTATATAACATGTGTTTACTACTACTGTTCACATGATATACACTTTTTTGGCCATGGAGCCTATTCAAGGGTGGTGGTTGTTTGCAAAGATTATGTCACTTGAAATATGTTTACTTATTTTTAGAGATATGACAATGGCTAGGATAAACTGGCTTATATAGATGCTCGATCCTTCAAAGAAACATCCTGATCTCCAGGCCTTGATTGTTTGACCCGCGCAGCCGTGCGACTTTGGCTGCCAACCCAAGGACCTGAAACCTTGCTCTCTTTTCATTCGCTCTCTCTCCCGCCTTGCGACGCCCACCAGCGACGCACCACTTATCCGCTTGGACTTGTCGGGGGAGTTGGTGACCTGCGAAGGGGCAAAGACCCTGGCAGCTGTGCTTCAGGCGCGCCCGCTGCTCCAAGTCATCGGGGGGGCAGAAACCAGTTTTTATCTTCAGCCATGCAACAAGTCAGACTGTGCAGGGGATAGATGGTTGAGAGAAGTGCAATGTCAATGTCCCACAACTAGACAGTATCATGAATACAACGTTTTCCCTTTTTCATCTCTAGCTTCATCTCACTCTTCCACTGTACCGAAACTCATGGTGCTTCATGTGCCAGCTGGCCTTTTCACTGCGGTTTTGGCAACTCACTCTAACCAACCCCAACCCCACGCACCCTAATTTCACTCGGAGTCTCCAGCCGTTTGCAACAAAACACCAACGAACCTCAATCACCTCTCCAACACCTCTCCAACGCTCTCGAGGTGAGCCTCTCTCTCCGTTCGCTGCTCTTGCGCCGGACGCCCATCGGCGATCTGGGCGCTCTGGCGCTGGGCGCGGCGTTGAGCTCCTCCGCGCTGGTGGAGTTGGACCTGGGGGAGTGTGCGCTCACAGACCAAGGGCTCAGGGCATTGGTGCGAGGCGTGACAAGCGGGTGATGCACCGGATTTGAGCGGCAAAGGAGATGGGACAGCGGGTGGATTTGGGTGACTGAGATGGGACAGCCGGGGACGGATGTTCGATCAGATTGGGAATGAGCCTCCGGGAGGAGAGTTTTGGATGACTGATGGGCATGGGCTTTCCAATCCAATGAGCCGGGAACTCGAAAGACATGGCCTATCCTCGCGGGTTCCCCCCCTGCATGGTGGTCACAGCTTTTCGGCACCTGCCCATGGAGCCAGGCCCCCAAGTTCATGGAGCTCCGCCCTGCCTCTCGGTGCTGCTCCTGGATGGCAATGCCACAGGCTCCATTGGCCGGTCTTTTGAGTGGGGGGCAGGTGAAGTCATTGGGTTGGTCTGTGAGTACGTATACGTGCCATGTACCCCAGCAATGTAAAGAATTCAGCATCCAGGGCAGCTTTGCATTTTTTGGACTAGCCTAGCCATCCTGGAGTAGATAGAATGTTGATAAATATTGGACATTTGGGACAGTTGTTCTATTTTTGGTTTGGATCATATTCTATTCCTGGATGGTTGTAGATTCAGGCGTCTACAACTGAGTCCCGTCTGCTGGCCGTTTGTATTTTGCTGCTTCCTCACTCCCCACTTGCTCGGGTAGCTTCCTCACTCCCTACTTCTTTCCCTCCCTCTCTCTCTCTTTGTGTATTGAGGGACATGTGTGATACTATACCATCCTCTATGCCAAAACGCACTTTTGAGTATCATGTGACCCCTCAAAGGGCCACCTTTCAGTCTTCCTTCCCCACGAAGTCCTGATCACCCACTTGATCTCCCACGATATTTCGATGTTTTTCTTCGGCCAGGAGATGTGGGGACCACCGAGGTGATCTCCTATCTGGAGCGTCAAAGCACGCTGAGGAGCTTCTCCATCCATCCATCGCTGCCTCGAGGCCTTTCACAAGAAGTGGAAGCCGCCCTACAGGCCGGGCAGGTGGAGAGCCCCCAGAGCTGAGACGGTAGCTTTAGCAAGTCAGCAAGTCAGCATGGTGAAGGCGGAACACTCGCGCTCGACGCACAAGTAGGACAGGTCTTGTTGTAAAGGCATTGACATCAAGTTGCAGTGTATTGCGGTTCATTTCGCTGGTGTCAAATGTTTGTCAGCCGACCAGGTTTCTGCGTTGTTCAGTTTCCCGGGTGTAGCAAAACTGAACATAGCAAGCGTTTCCCGATTGTGTAGGACATAAAGTACGGATGCAGATGCTTAGAGAGAGGGAGAGAGATCAGCATGTGGGCTGCCCTGGCTATCTTTCTGAAGTTGGAGGGTCATACCCCTTCGCGTTCAGTGTATTGTCCGCCGTGCGGTTCAAGATCTAACGATCACAACGATCACTTCTGACGATCACAACGGATTCCGACGGATTCACCAGGCCCCAAGGGGGGGGGGGAACGCAACCTCGCAGAAGGCGCCGATGACGCCCAGGTGGCGTGCGAGTTGAGTGGGGTGACGCTGGATCACAAAGGCGACCACGCCCGCGCGAGCGCGCGCGGCCTCGCGCGCCGCGAGCGCGTTCGAGCCGTTGCCGCGGGTCGAGGAAACGACGGCGAGCGAGTGACGACGTTCCTCGGTGTGGACGGGGTCGTGGGTTCAGTGGGGGAAATGGAATGAGACGAAGTCCATCTTCTCTTTCAGAGAGTGGTGGAACTGTACTAATTGCGTAGTAATCAGTAATCTTATGATGTATCGAGCAGTGCGACATGAGATTCAGGCATCCCTAGTGCGATGATCCGAGGTCGACTGGTTTCACTTCGATCCCGGCCAGGAGAGGCCTTAAGCTTGGACCGCCTGGCCAGCTGCTGCGGGAAACGCCACGAGGTCCCGTCCGCACCACCCGTCCCGGGTGGAACCGGTGGTCCGAGCAGTGGCGCGAGGGTCGCCCGAGGGAGGGAGCCCAAAACAGTAAAGAAGGTGTGGATGATCTGATGATCCCATCTGATGAACCTGATGATCTGATGATCTGATGATCTTGGTTTCAAGATGTTTCAAGGATGTTTTGCATGGTTTTACTGTTCCATCACGTCCCAATTCTTTTTTGACATGATGCTTTCCAAAGACAAATCATTTGTGGAGCGGTTTTAATCACCTAAGCAGTGATTGTTGATGTGTGCATTGTCCACATTGTCTTCACTCGAAGGATCTTTGCTTTGTGGCGCACATCCACAGAATCCACCCATCTTGTAGTGTGAGCTTCAAGATTGAACTCAATCATCCAACATCCCACTGGAGGTTCTTTTTGGCACACGGTTTTGGGCCTCGGCACCCAAGAATCCCGAAACTACAACGCCCACGACGTTGAACAACAACATAGTAGAAAACACTCTTCAATTTGACTCCAGAAAGCAATCTGGGCAATGAAACTCTGAGCGGCCCTCCTTCTCTTCCGGCAAATTTTTCATGTTCGTGTCCGTTTCTTTGTTTTTCAGGTTCGTGCGGTCGTAGATAGAGGTGAGGGGACTCTCTCAATGTGTGGGGTCCTAACACCCCAAGATCAAAAAACACATTGTGCAATAAGCGGAATTAGAATGAACATGAATGAACCACGCCTCCCAGTAGTTCATAGGAAAAGATCGTCGCATCACATGGCAAAAGAAATGGACTCACCAGGTGAGTCGAAGCTCAGTCAGGTGGCGCCGTCACCCTCACCGGTCGCCGTACCGGTCGCCACGCCGGCGCTGCCCGCACCGGTGCCGCCCGAGCCCCTTCAGCGTGCGCCGGGCGTGGGCTGGTCTCCCAGCAGCGCCGTGGCGGAGCGCACGCCGCGGAAGCCGGTGCCGGACATGTGCCCCGGATGGACGAAAGGGTCGATGCCGATGCCCATGGTTGGAGGCTTTCTGGGAAAGGGAGACAAGGAGAAGAGGTCGCAGTCGTTTTTGGAGGCTCAAGGTTGTTGCGTAGTCTCTGAGTTGTGACCATGTTTGTGAAACGTGGAGTTGTCACTTGGACCTTCCCAGTCGGCCGCCCCTTCTTCCGTATACTCGTGCCCAGCCCTTAGCCGAGGCGCCAAAGTGGGCACCTGGCCTCGTGGATGGCGGGCACGGAGCGTGAGCTGAGGGAGTTGAAATGGCTCCTCAGCTCCAGCAGCGCGCGCCTCGACGGCCAACACAGGAGTGGGCGGGGCGGAGGAGGGCGGAGGGCGGAGCGGAGTTGCAGAGCGGGCCGACGGATGGAGCGGGCGTCAGTGGTCTTTTGGGGGGAGGTGTTCGGCGTGACGGTGGAGCGTAAGCAGGCGAGTGTGGCGGCGTATGAAGCCGACGGCTTTTGGGCCGCGAAAGTGCCTGGGTCGTGGGCTATGTGCTTGGTGGGGTGAGGGGGGTGAGGGGGGTTGTTTTGGCCAAGAGGGGTGTTGTTTTGCGGTTCTGAGAGCCTGGAGGCCAAAGGAAACACTGAGCTTTCGCTTGGTTGTACTCAGCCGCAGTGAGGAGTGGGGGGAGTCCAGAGATCAAGGTGTTTTCTTTGGTCTAATTGATCAGTGTCTAACCAACGTTTGAACCATGCCCACTGAATGGATGAAGCTACTTGAGGGTGAAGCTACTTGAAGAGATGGACCGTGCAAACAACAAGAGTACCTGGACTGTCGAATGGAGGTCCCTTACTAGTGTAGGGGCTTAGGGGCTTCCATTGGTGACCTCTTTCAAGGTGCTGGTAGCAGATGCAACTTGAGTTTGAGACGACTCTGGCACTCTCCCCTCATGCAGTTCCTTGAATCATTGGAGGACCATCGTAGTTGTAGTAGGGCTGATGACAAAAGCAACCACATCATGGTGCCATGGGTGAGATTCTACCCTCTTCACTCACATGGAAAGTGGATGGCACCCCCCTGTTTGTCGAGGAACATGGTCTTCCCAGTAGCCATGTTCCATTTTCCATGTGATGTGTTCGTCAGAGTGTACTGAGTGTACTTGATTTCTCCGCTTCCGCAGGAAGTTGATGTCCGAGCTGGAGAAGCTCCGGCTGCAACTGGACGCCTGGACCAGCGATGCGGCGCCCCCCCGGACTGGAGCGGGCGAGGTGGAGGAGATGCGGCTGGATGTCTTGGAGGCCAAACGTCGGGTCGGAGTCGGAGGGTGGGTCGGGCAGAATTGCCCAAGGAGGTGTCATAAGTCATATGTGTATGCCTAAGGAGGTGTCATTGCCCAAGGAGGTGTCAGTGACATGTCAGAATTGGGAGGTGAATGATGTGTAAGCAGCACAGCAAATGCGCAAAAAGCGCTACAAACTCCGATGTTGATTCCAGCGCTACGTACGCAGAAGTCTGGCAACAAGGAACTGGGTTCCTTTGCTCTTTTTGGGCACGGGATCCGATGAAACTGAGACCGAGACCCAACTGACTGCAGTTCAATACCTGGACCCTCCTGTCCGGGTGTCCTGGCTGGACTACCCCACACTACCTATAGGCTTCCATTGGGCACCCCTTGGAGGGTCCTGGTATAGTTCAATAGCCATGATCTAGTCACAAAAACTAATCATTGGAACTCATGAGAACAGCCCGTCGCAACTGTTTTCCTCTCTTTGAGGCCTTCATGCAACGGTTTGTTAGATCGTGGCAACAAAATGCCAGGGAAAAAAGAGACAATCACCAGCCCCAACCCCAAATCCCAAGAACATGTGGGAATATCCAATGATTTTCTGGGCAAGAACCCAATCCCAAACACTTCCCCAAGAGCAAAAGCATCATATAATCTCATACAATCGTAAACTTCAGGAGCTGTTTTTGGTGCAAGAATCCCATCGGACTCGTCTCGTCCCCATCCTCCGCGTCCCATCGGCTCGTCCCCATCGCCCAGGCACGTTTCGATGCCTTGGATCAGCTGGTGGGACGAGAGCAGTCGGAGTGTGCTCAGCGACCTGGTGGATGATGTGAGGCGGAGAGGCGTTGTTTCCGTTCGCCGCCGTTTTTACTCCTAGTAGTAAAGGCCAGGAGCCCGGTTCGTAGCTTCTTGTTACTAGTAGTAGGGCCAGGAGCTAGGAATAACTCGTGGCCTCCGATCCGCTCCGTTCGTAGTAATTCTCCTCCTTGTGATCTGAAAAGGAGAATGAGGTCACGCGAACGATCCCTTCGGCGACACAAACTCACGATAATGGAATTTGAACAGACACTCCCGAGCGGGTGGACCCGATCTGCGGTTGGGCTCCAGCAAATAGATGACTGGTATGTCAAGGGGGCACATGAATGCCAAATGGCTGCCTCCAGGAGGGACCTCAGGGTCCAGGGTTTCTCTGGTCAGCAAGAGCGCGGCAGGGCCAAATGCACTCATCACAACGGGGAACCTCACCAAGGCACAACTCAGAAAACGGTTGATCAACCGAGTGCGAGTCGATTTCGGTGCGCGAAACGAGTGAATCAAAAGGGCTTGGAGTGTTCTCTCCCGTGCTGAAGCTGATAGTCTTGTGAGTGCCCCACAGACTGATCAAACGCATTTGCCGGAAAGCGGGTTGGGTGGCTTGCGTCATCGGAATTCCGTCGGGGCCCTGGGGCCCTCCAGAGTGAACCGAGTGAGTCAGACGACGGGAGCGAGTGAAACCGTCCCCACTCGGCGTTTTTTCTTCAGGTCCAGGATGCCCCATGCAAGCACAAGCACCATTTCAAAGCAGGGCAACATGAGGAGCTTCAAGAGTACAGGAGAATCTGTGGGGAAAAGGTTCAGTTTTCCTTTCCTGTTGATGTTTCCTTTGCAAACAGGTCACACGTGGTTTGAGAGCCATCCAGGCAAGTGAGAAGTCCAGTCCAAGGATGTGGCAGCTGGTCGAGGTTGCTGCCGGCAGTGCCCGCGCGCGCAACAACTGAGCCGGCCGTCCCTGAAAGAGATTTCTGGCCAATTTGGGCGAATTCTTCTTCGCTAGTTGTTTCTGGCCAATCCTGGTGGCAGCAGGGAGACTCTCAAAAGGAATGAAGTGGTCGTTTGCGCCAACCTTGTGCTGAGAACTCGTCGCTGTTGAAGTTTAGATTTCATGCAACATGAATTGAATTTGATTGAATTTGCACAAGAAGCTCATGGTGACTTTGCTCTACTATGAAGACAGACTCCTTCAAATGAGCTGTCACCTTTGCCGCTGCCGCTGGTGGCACCAGAATTGAACCGACAGACATGCACACAGGGCATGGTTGGGGGCACCCAAAATTGGCCATGAGATTTCAGGGATGGTAGGTAGGCTTGAGAATGATGCCAATGTTGTCACGAAAGGTAGCGGTTACGCTACCTGAGTTTTCCTTTTGCTTTAGCAAAAATGTATTAACCCAGAGCTGCAGCCTATCTCTCGGAGAAATGGTCCCCGACATCTTCGTTTGCTGGCCGGGGGGGGGGCCCCCCCCCCTTTCAACTCCACCCTAGCGCGCCTCGGGGTCAACCGTTCGAAAACACTGTAAATATCAATGTTTTCAGCTCTTCCAGTCCTCAGCAGTGACCAAAAATCATGGAATTTACAGCGTTTTTTGTGGCTGTCCGGCAAAAAACACCGCAAAAACCGATGGTTTTTGATGCGTCTCGGTTAGAAAAATGACCGAAAAAAGACCAAAAACCAGGAAAGATTTTGTCAGAAAGGGTTTTTGAGGCTTTTGGAGGCTTCAAAATTGCACAAAACTATGGTATTTACAGGGTTTTGTGCACCTTCCCGGCAGAAAACGCAGGTATTTACACGGTTTTCTGCGCTTTTCCAGCGCTCAACCGTGGTGCGCCTTTGGATCGACGGCTACAAAATACCGTAAATACCAGTGTTTTCAGCTCCTCCTGTCTTCAAGCGTGGCCTTAGACCTTGCCGCGGCTGTGGATCGACAGCAACGAAACCTCGTAAATACCAGTGTTTTTGAGCACGTCCTGTTTGCAAGCATGGCCTGCGGCCACGCAATTTACAGGGTCGCCGCACGTCACTATGTAAATCCGAAGTTGCATTTGAGAAATATGTGACTCCTTTTGAAGGCCCGTCAACCTGTATTGAAACCGCTAGACCGCTACAGCTTCTGGAGGTTTTGTCAAGCGCTTGTGCACTAGTCTTTCTTTCATCAAGCTCACTCACTTCTCTTCAAACAAGTGGGGGGCCTCTCACCTCCTCCCGGATTACGCCTGATTCCCTGCTACCTTTCGTTCACCCCCCTCCTCTCTCAAGTGCAAATCTTTGCGTCGAAGGGTTCAAAAGTCACATCAGCCATGGTGAAGTGATCATTTTTGAAAGGTTGATGTGGGGGAGAGATCCAGATGATACAGTACATTTGTTGTGTTTTTGCAAGAGTCCCATGTACATCGGGCGAGCAACAGGTTTTACTCATGCAACAACCTTGCTTTCTGCCATTCCTCTCAGGGTGCTTTGGCGTCCATCTTAAAATGCTTTAAACACTATGTAGACGCTCTGGAAAACAAAACAGCTTTGGAGAGCCACCGCCTAGGAGCCCTTGGAGGACTACTCTACCCGACTCCTCAAATAGTGATGGGTGTATAATAGAACAGGGAAAGCAAACATAGACTAAACCCGTTGGGGAGTCACGTTATTCTAATACACACCGCGCTTCTCGAACAGACTCTTCTCCACGAGAGCAACTGACTGTCCTTGCGTGTGCCCCCTTCTTCTCGATGCCTTCGAGCGGTGAACAAGTGTGCCCCCGTTTCTGTCTATCAGATCTAATGGAGCGGAGCGGCGGAGCTCGAGCGTCAACCGTTCTGACCAATTTTCTGATCTGTCTAGATACCACAAGCCACTGCGCGTGTATGAATTGGCCTGCGCGCATCGACAGCATGCGGCTGGGGCGCTTCTTTCTCAAGCAGTAGGTGGAGACTTCGGAGACTTGGCGTACGAAGCAAGCTATTCAGAAAGAGGAAAACACATGAAAGAACAGCGAGAAAAGCAAAGAAGGTATTGTTTCTTTCTTTTCTTCTGTCACCACAGCTGTGTCTTTTGTGAAGCTGAAGATCGCTTCTGATATTGTTCAGATGAAGGATCGAAACCCATAAGCAGCATGGTCACAGGCATGCAGAGGCCCATCCTTCAATCAGACCTTTGAACAGACCTTGCTTTGGGCCAGCTGATGTGTGGTTCGCTGTTTTCAGTGTGACCTACTAGGGAGAACCCCTAGTGTGACCCTTGACTTTCCCTACATGTGACCTGGTGCACCTGCATTGTCCACAAGGAGACGCTAGACCGAAACGCAAACCAGACGCAAAAACCAAGCCCATGTGACCCGGACGCGACCTGTTTGGCAGAGCTGTGGACAGCTGTCCAGCTATCCCGGGGAACCAACATAGTGGCAACTGTCCATCAACTCCGGGATAAACTAACTGGTGAAATTATAGCAACATGAACCATTCCTTTTCCCAGTATAGGGAGATGAGTGCGAATGCTTCGCTGGGCATGGAGCGCGAGTGGCTCATGTGCCGCATGCGCCTACCTTTGGATTGGAGCTGCAGCCAAACCCCACATCATCTTCCATGCTCGGGTGCCCAGCAAAGGCCTTTGTGTTCAGGTGTTTGGTCGTTCGGGTCTCCATGTGACAAGGCGAGGGACACCCCCAATTAGCTCTTCATTCGCTCGAGAAAAATGCTCCAAGACGAGGGGTCGAGCGGTCCCCTGTGTCATGGCCGGTGTGGTGAGGTCTATGTGGTGGGTATTTTCACGAAAGCTAGCCTTAGCTAGCTGGAGTTGCTCTTGCTTTAGCAAGTTAAGTGACGGGGTGGACGCGCCCCAGAAACCTCAAATAATTGATTAAATCAATCTTATGGACCCCCCCCCCCCGCGGTTCGACTCCCCCCTGCGCGCGGTGAGCGGGACCACCAAGCAGCTGCAGCACACCAAGCATCTGCAGTCTACCACCAAGCAGCTGCAGCAAACCACAAAGGAGCAGCAGCAGCAGAAGCAGCAGACCCAGAGCAGCAGCAGCAGCAGACCACCCAGCGCCAGCAGCAGCAGCAGCAGCAGACGACCCGGCGCTAGCAGAGCACCCAGCGCAGCAGCGCCCAGCGCAGCAGCGGCAGCAGCAGCAGCACCAGCAGCAGCAGCAGCAGCAGAAGCAGCAGCAGCAGCAGCAAACACAACAGCAGCAGCAGCGGCCGCAGCAGCAGCAGGAGACGCAGCCAAGGCAGACCACCCAGCAGCAGCAGGAGCTACATTGGACAGTAATACCTTTTTGGGTGCTATGTGCAGGCGGCATTTCTTGCATCATAGCCCTACCCCGCGTACGCGACTAGTTACGGCGTGGAGTCAGGCGGTGTCATTTGAGTCTTGTGCTGCTGCTGCTGGGGGGTCTGCTGCTGCTGCTGGGCAGTCTGCTGCTGCTGCTGCTGCTACTGGGAGGTCTGCTGGTGCTGCTGCTGCTGCTGCGCTGGGTGGGCTGCCGCTGCTGGTGCTGGCGCTGGGTGGTCTGCTGCTGCTGCTGCGGCGCTGGGTGGTCTGCTGCTGCTGCTGCTGCTGGGTGGTGCTCTGCTGCTGCTGCGGCGCTGGTTGGTATGCTGTTGCTGCTGCTGCTGCCGCTGGGTGGTCTGCTGCTGCTGCGGCACAGCAACCGCTGGAAAAACCAAGCCAAAGAAGTGATGGAAAGGGGGCACCAAACAAAACCTGCTCCTGTCAGGTGGCAGTTGCTTACTGAATGAGACTCGACGCACCACAAAGCACATACTAACACTGCTTCTCTAGAGTTTCCCACTGGACTTGCAAGTGGACCGGCCGTTACCCAATGAGAGTGACTGTGCAGCCCGCCCCCGACTTGTTTGGACGAGGAGGCCCGGCTAGCTTTCGTTCACCCCCTCTGGCCTCAAGTTGATTAAAGTACAAGTCGATGCTTTGTGGAAAGGCATGTTTTGGAAGATTGACTAGAGGTGAGACACACACACACAAGCAACACAGTGACCCACGTAACTGGAATGCTTCTTCAAGCACATGATCAAACGACGCGAGTGCCGTGCAGATCTGTTGCTCAAAGACCCGAAACGCCACGTAACAACGTTGTACTACATGAATGGTGTCACCGTTTGTCAATGGTCTCACCGTTTGCATTGGCCCGTTTTTTCACGTTTTTTTTTTTCACGGTTTTTTCCCATTTTCCTTGGTCCGGGTGGTCGACCTCGGGGTCTCCCCCGCTCAGATCATCGATGACTGGGGCTTCCACGACATCGGCTTCCGCTCTCCGGAGATGCAGACGCCCACCCTGGACCGCTTCCACCAGCAAGGTGCCACCGCACGCGACGGGTTTTCACCGGAAGGCGACGAGTCCCGGTGCCTTCAATGGCTGTCTTAGGCCTGCGGTTGGTGGAGCTCAAGAGTTCGACAACTGCTTGTGGGAATCTGAAAGTGAATCGTCTAACCTCATGTAAACCACCAACACCTTTTTCTACACATCACCGTCACAGCCCCGGAGAATGGTTGACAGGATCCTCATCCCACCATGTTCATGCCCTCCATCCTCTGAGTTAGCTTTCTTTCACTGACCCGACCCGAACTTGAGGACATCGCATTGAGGACGCCAGGGCATTTCACCCGAAAACGGGACCTCGTCGCTTGGAGTTTGATCAGCTCTGCCAAGTGATGGACACCCTGGTCCAACGGACGGCAGGCATCACGCTGGAGCACTACTATGTGCTGCCGACCTGCTCCCCGAGCCGGGCGACCTTCCTCACCGGCCGGATGCCTGTGCACACGGGCCTGCATAGCAAGCTGCCCTACCACGAAGCCAGAGGGTGGCCTGGCTTGGATCGATGTAGACTCTTGAGAAGCAAAACCTCTCCAATTGAACTGGAGATCCTCTTCATATGGGGGGTGAAATATCATCAAGAGTCTACATTAGATGGATGAGATGGGACGGTCTCCAGGGATGGGGCTGTCTCAGCATGTCCAAGAAGCCTTCCTGCCAGCGCAAGAAAGCCACACCCTCGAACTGGAAGAGTGCGGTTCTCAGTGCGACCAAGCAGCTGGAGTTGATGATGTACCAGGCTACAAAAAGGAAGTCGACAGCAGATCCATGGCGAACGACGAAGACCAGCAAGCTTGACAGGTACAAGAACTAACTGCTGGAGAACCCTTTTTTGTAGACCACCAGTGATAATTCGACCAAGACTTCGTTACCACCACGTCACGGCTTTACGGCATCTGAGGCTTCCATTGGACGAGGTCCTGCTGCCAAGCTATCTCCAAGAGGAGTCCTCATCATCCGTCGATAGCCACGGATGTCTTTCTGATAATTCACCCAAGTGATGCCAGACCACGTAGAGGTCTGGAATGGTGGTCGGTTGTCTAGGTCTTCCAAACTTGTCTGGGCGGTGGTGGTTGTCTGTCGGAGAGTTTCCACTGCAAAGGCAATCCAGTTGCAATCCCGGGAGGAACTTCGGGCCTAAAAACTGTCCAGTTGCAACTTGTCAGGATTGACCTTGTACACTTCCGAAAACTAACATGGACCCTGAGAATGGGACCCGGTAAGGCTGTTTTCCTCTACAAACCAGTGGTTTTCAGGGTCCATGTTAGTTTTCCACGGTATACATCAGGGGATTACAAAACTGTCGATGCGGCGCATTGGAGATCTTTGGTCAATTGGAATGGTCCCATTGGTCGACCGATCGCACCGCTCTGGATGTGGCTCCAAAAAGGAGAGGAATCGGTTTGAATCATTCCCCGGAAGGGTTTTACACCAACATGATGGGGGAGCTTTGCTACGGAATCAACAGTCAACATTGGTCATTAGTCGACCACTTTGGTCTGTTTTGTTTGGAATCAGCATTCTTACTTGGAGCCGGATATGGGTATCTTGAGTCATTGCAAGCACCCAGACTCTGGGCCATGCTCCAGGTGTTTTGGTCATGGACCCGAGGCGCTAAATTTTTGCTTTTGTCCGGCCATGCCATGTCAGGTTTCATAGATGGACAGGCCAATTTCCTCAACTATCAAGCCAATTTACTCAAATCTTGGTAGAGGTCCCCAAATCTTGGAATCCTCTACCAAGAATCCATTTACATTTGGGAAATTTGGGACCTCTACCAAGATCAAGACTGCACAGTGGGCACCTCTTGCAATTCTCCAGGAGGGCTACCGGACCCATGCCGTGGGCAAGTGGCATTTGGGGTTCCACCGTTCAGCTGCTTGGACTGGTTCTGAGGGTGTGGGAAATGAGGGCCCACCCAGCCACCCGCCCAGCCAGCCAGCCAGCCAGTCACCCCACCTACCCACCCACCAATAGCACTTCCTGGCTGAGAAAGAAAGATTTGGGAGGAAACAGTCAGTCAACGGGGCTCAGTGTTTGCCGAGACCGGTGTGGCCAGGTGGGCAGCACCAGAGCGGGGGAAGCTGGCTATCAATCACAGACCGGCGTTTCACTGGTCTCGACTCCAGACCCTGTTGAACCATTCAGCGAAGAGTTGCTTCAAGCCCAAACGTTTTGGGGAAGTGGCCATGTCATGAGAGGCTTGGAAATTCTCCAACCTCTCATGACACGAACATTTTTCGGACTCAAAGCCTCAGCCCCCCACGCTGTTTCCACGGCTGCTGCCCGCGCGTCGCGGTCTGACGCCCGTTCGGTCACAGGAATACACGCCCACCTTTCGAGGCCGAACGGACCCCGCGGGGGGGGGCGAACGGACGGCGAACGGACGGCGTCCGCGCGGGAGACGGAGAGGGTCTCACTCATGTGGACCAGCCGAGCCTGGGCCATGCCTGGCCATGCCTGGGCCACCAACAGAGGTTGAAGGACCCTATAGACTATCCCATAGGTACCCCAGTAGGGTCCTATAAGGTCACTTAACCTGTCTTGGCATGCCATGATCCTGTTCCACTGGCCATGATCCTGGACCAAACACGATCCACTGGCCTCCCCAGAAAAGGGAGACTAGAAGAGAAGAGAAACATGCACGTCCACGTGCCGGAGCTTTTCGCGTTTCGAGATGCATCATCCCCCACCAGATGCATGTCGATCCCCCACCAGTCCAGTCCAGTTCAGTTCGTAGGCCCTGGTCCGAACGAGGACCCGGACCTTGGGCCTGATCGGAGCCCCGTTGTGTCGGTCAGGTCCGTAGATGACCTGGGGCGGGGCCCGAACTCGACTCCTTCAAAAGCTGGGGCGGGGCCTTTTTGAACTCTATGTCACCACCGGAAGTCGACCAGAAGGGGTCCATCAGTGGCACACTGTTTCTGTTCAGTGTGATTTCTTTGCAGATGGTGTCTTGGTGACAGAAGGGCTGTAGTGCGGAGGTAGAACAGTAGCTTGAGTGCACGTGTTGCATGCTTCCACCGGTGGTTTCTCAGCTCACTGGACGAGTCACTGAGTATGTATACATTGTACAAGCCACAGCAGGAAACCAATTCAGATAAGCCTAAATGCTCCAGAACCCGATACATCTCAAAACGCTTATTTGTACGGTCTTTGCTTGACTCCCGTCCAAATCCCTGCAAACACACTTCCACCCTTTGGAAAGCCAGCAGGCTTCGAGTCCTTCTACGGGTACTATGCCGGGGGTCAGGCACCATCGGTCGGGTCCCGATGGTTAAACAGCGCAAGCGCAAGCATGCGCGATGGCGTGGCAGGTGAAGAGGGGGGGGCAAGAGAGCCATGGTCGAACTCCTCGATGTTTGTTGAACTGGAACTTCTTCCGCTTTTCCGGTCTGTTGAACTGGGGCCGCTTCGTCCAGAAGGACACGGATGTTTGCCACTGAAAAGAGAGGAGTCCTGAAAAAGCAGAATGAACCTCCAAGGATCAAGTGAATGCAGAATGAACTGATTGGGTTTCTATATGCACTGCTTGGTCAAAGCTGCTTCTCCAAGTTGCTTTTGAAGGACTGCAGAGCATTTCTTGGCTGGCCAAAAGGCCCTGAGCAGGGATTCGATGGCTATTTGCATGGTGTAGAGGTTGCACGGTCATAAAGGCGAGCGCATATGCACAGTAATTATATACTCTTCCTTTTGTTCTCCGGCTTCTCAAATCCAAGTGTTTGCTTTGGTCAGGGCTACTTCACTCACCAGTTGGATGGCATCTTCGATCTGCATCGGCAACCGCAGCAGAACTGCGGGCAGAACTGCAGCCAGGTGGCTTGGAACGCGGCTTCTCGGCAGCTTCTTAGCCATGTGTGGGTCCTGAAATAAATGCACATCTATTCAATCCTGGTGGGAATGAAAATTATAAACCCTACCCTGAATTCCATAGGGGATACTATTCGCAAGTCACAAGACATGTTTCAAAAAAAAAGGGGGTACTACTACACAATAAACTTATCAGCAAACCTGGTAGCCCAAAGCTCCAGACCATGGCTTCAAAGCTTGGAACCAGGGCCCAATGAGGTGTGCTGAAAAGCAGCCAGTGGGAAAACACACCAAGCAGCCTCAAGCCTAACGCCATGGTGGATTGACCATGGTTGACCATATCTGGTAGGACATCCATTCATACTCTCCATGTTGACACATCCCAGTCACCACTCGGCTTCTGAACCGCCCCGGTCTTCGAACGCCGAAGCACCTTATTCGCGGGTCCCCGAGTCACCGGTCCGGGGGAACGTGCACACGGGTTACGCCGGACCGGCGAGGAGGGTCGCTATTCCACAAAGCTCTTCACTGAAGAGGCCATCCACATCATCCGACGCCACTTGGGCGGAGGCAGGGTGAGGTGAGTGGAAAGTGCAAGGAACAGTCTGCGTAGAAACAGAACAGGCTTTTTGGGGCAGGCTTGTAGAACTTGCAGGTTTTCTTGGCTTTTCTCAGCTGTCCTCTGAACACCTCGAAACACACAGCACCTAAGCACCGGGGAAAGCCGTGGAATGACCTGGCACACAGAATGAAACCAATCTGACAGTGTTTCTTCCCAGGGCTTTCACAGAGGTGTCAGATTGAAGGATATCATGTTTGCGGCCGGACTTTGTGGTCCGGTGTCCCCTCCCAGGATGCCACTAATTGCTTGGGATAGATGACAGTCTTGCTTTCTCAAGCGATCATGTGGGTTATGTTGGCTGGCTTCCACCCTGCACTCACTGCAGCCGTGCATTCGCTCTCCTGTAATTGTGTTCCAGTTCCAGTCCGAAGGGCTTTTGAATCGCTTTTCCCCTAAGCCTATGCCGAATAACACATGATAGGAAGCTACTATGTCATTATGCGTCCTTTTGAATTTTGAGGAGTGACTGGCCCCAATCCACTGGGTGTGATTCGAACGTCGGGCGTATTGTGATTCTTCATGCCGCGCACGCTGAGGTCATCATCGTGAAGAGCCTGAGAAACCGCTCTTCCTGTGGCAGGTGTCGAGTGGCAACTGAAACACAGCCAAGCGTACTTTGACGGACATGACAAACGTACTTTGCTGGTCTGGTGGTCTGGTGGTGCGTGGCTTTTCCGTTGCTTTTTTCCTTCTTTGAATAACAATCCCCTTCTCGAAACATTTCACCCTTCCTCAGAAAGGATGAGCATGAAATCCGTAGAGTGTCATGGCTCATCTCTCCTTTTGCTGGTGATGAGTTCTGTGCTGCCATTTGTAGGCGTGGCAAAACGTGCATGCGCCCATCCAAGCTGGAAAGCTCTTCATTCATCGCCTCCGCGATCGGATCGCCGACCCAACGAGGCTCGGCGGGCGTACGGTACGCGGTTCGGAAGGAAGGCATGAACGGGAAGACGTGGTTTGTGGGGCAAATGGGGTATGGCCCTGAAGGTTTTGAGAGAGCTCAAAGACTTCAGCTTCCGCACCAACCTGGTTGGAGCTTGCCCCGATGAACATTAGATGATTGGAGTTTGCCCCTGGTGCGCTTGTTTGAACTGGTCGCCAAAAAGGTTAGGGATTTGGTTGCGCAGCTGATACCTAGTCCTAGTCGTCGAAATGCAACGCTGGTGCCTCGTCAGCTGCTTCTTGGTTGAGCTGAGCTCCCCATATGGCCCATGTGCTGCAGAAATGCTGGAAGCCTGTGCTGCATGGTCACCCATGAAACCTCAATGCATAGTGTGCCCCACTCGAACTTGAACTATATCAGGTCAAAGCTACTAGGAACATGTGCCACGCCACAAGGAACAAGTGCCACGCTACTAGGAACAAGTGCATCGCTACTAGTAACAAGTGCCTTACTACTAGTAACAAGAAGCTATTAATTTATGTTAATTTAATTTATATAATTCTAATAGCTTTTTGTCACTACCAGTAAGGCACCTGTTACTACTAGCATGGCACTTGTTACTACTAGTAACAAGAAGCTAGTAGTAACAGGTGCATCATCCCTCACTGTCGCATCCTCTCACCGCCACTGTCGCGCACGGTACCGCCCCGTCGGGTAACCCAGGCGGATTCACGCGGCGATGGTCAGTGCAGTAGACGCGGCCATCGGGCGAATCAATGCCGCGCGGCAGTCATGAAAGTCGGAGCTGGTTGCGGTCAGAAGAAAGAGGCCAGGGATATCCAATTGCTGGAGTGGTTTGATGGGGAGGCAGAGTGCTTTTTCTTTGATGGGGTTTGGCTGCTAACTACAACGAATTGCCTCAGTACGGAGCTGGTTTGAACAAAAGAAACTGGATACAGAGAAATCATGTGATCCAACTTTCACTTCCTCAACTTTTTGTGGTCTTCTGGAAGATCTGGAAGGCGATTTCACTCCACGAACAACTCTTTTTTGATGCCGAGGATGTACTTGCGGAAGAAGGTATGCTGCAGAATTCCATCGTGATAGTGGCCTGGCACTTCTTTGTTGACATAACACGAGTTCTATTCTTCAACATGTGAATGATATGGCCTCAATGGTCTTTTCTTGTGGTTGTTGTCGTCGCTGGACTTTTATAGAAGATTGATAAGCCAACCGAGGGATTTCATCGACTGAAGTCCCATCATTGAACCTTTTTTTAGCTTTGGCACTAAAACTTGAAGGGCTCAAAGTAGACTGTAGTTTCTACGGTGCGCCGAGCCCCAGAACGAAAACCGTTCGTACGCGGCCTTTTTTCCGTGCCGTCCGCGCCATTGCTTTGTTGGTGGGGAAGGGCGAGGTGACGAGCTGGCTAAGGGATCAAGGCCGCGAAGCCCGACCTGGCACCGTAGAGAGCGCCGGAAACGTTCCAACGCTCGGAAGGTGTTCAGGAAAGTTAAACAGGGTACCCACTACCCAAGGCAAGGTCTGAAAAGGAAGTTTGGACTTGCACTACGACGCCTGCTTCCGCACCACTCCTGGAAGAACAATTTCTGGATGGGAGGATGGAGCGGGCAAGGAAAAGGGAAGAGTGTGAGGCCTTGGTGGAACCAATGGCCCAACCAGCAACAGCAAGGAGCGCCAAAGAAGAAGAAAGATGGCAAGACAGACAAGCAGGAAAAGGTAAAGCAGGACAAAGGAGGAGGGGAGTCCTTTCCCTCTTACGAATCCTTGCTTCCTTCGTCATCTGCATCGAGCAAGGAGGTTTCGAAAGATGTCTTGGCCCTGAAGAAGGACTTTTGTGTTCTCCTTGCGCGGCTTTTCCAGAAATGGATGGAGGGGGCAACTCAGAAGACAGGACCACCACCTGCCGACGTTGCTTGGCTACAGGAAATGCATGTTGTACAGGTCGAGCAACACGAGCAGGAAGGTCCTGATTTCCACCCGCGTTTAATTCAGAATTCACATCAGCAAGGCGCTGAGTCCTCGGACGCTGTGCGCTAATAGAAAGAAAGAAAGAAACTAAAACTTGAGCAAACGCAAACGCTTGGATGATGCCTTCAGACTGCTCGTTCATGTTCACGAAACTCTAAAACTATGTACGTACATGGTGATACATGGTCAGCCCATCAACGCGTGGCATTCACAGCATGAAAGAAGAACAACCGCAACTGCCCGCCAAGCTGCCATGCTGCCATCACTGCTTCCACACTGAGGCGACCACTGACAATGGGGGGGCGATTCACGAATGCATGCCCAACGGAGCGTCGAACTATCCGCTGAGGCGTGGGTGGGGCATGCCGGTGCTGGGGGGTCGAGGGCGTCTGAAGCTGGGAGACCGGGCTGAGGCATGGGCGCCAATTGGTCTCAAGATGAGACCGGGAAAGATCCGGCAATAGGTTGGTGTTCACTCACTCTAGAAACCTCCTCAACAGTGCAAGGCCAGGCTCTCGTGGGATGCAGAGGCAACTTTTGGCAGGCCTCACATTCAGATGGAGTCGCTTTCATGGGCCTTCCCATTTCGTGGGTACGAACACATGACAGCGACCGCTGTCCCATGTGGCGCCTGCTTTGAACCTGCACTGCACACCTGCCCTGCACACCTGCCCTGCTGTGTCCCCGGTGGTCCGCCAGGGGCGGCAAGTGCAGCGTCTGGGAAGGTGGGACTCGAGGGACGGCGCTGATCTACGCACCAAGCGTTCTACCGTACCAAGGCGGGCGGTGAAGGAAGGAGTCGTCGTAAGGGATGAACGGTTGGAACTGTAGTGCTTTTCGGTGGGTGGTTGTTATCAAGTCGGGTGGAACCCGAAACTGACCAAGTCGGTTGAAAGAGGTGTGATTTCAAGTCAAACAGGTTCAGTCTCCAAGAGCTTTAAGAACAGGTTCAGTCTTCAAGAGCTTTTAGCATCATCTTAGAGACTTATTGGGGTATTTGGGCAACAAATGCCTTTTGCGAAGTGCTGAGGAGCCTTCTTGCGGTTTGGAGCCTTGAGGAGAACCAGCTTCTAGTATGACCTTCCCCCTCAATCCGGAAGACATGCTTAAACCAACCACCTTCACCTTTCTGCTTCATCCATGGACTATAAACATCTCGTCCACGGAGACTCTAACGCGCTTTCCGTAAGCGAAGCGGGGGAGCGAAGAACTGGAAGGAAAGGAAGGTTCCATCGGGTCTGACCTGTTTGATGTGGAAGGAGCCTCATCCCTTAGCCTCGGTCTATCTGCGTTGGGTTCGTTCATGCTTCGGTCATGTAGGCGAGCCTGGCGTCCGAAAAACGAGGCGAGGGCTAGACGTGCAAGCAGTTGTGCATGCTGTCGGTCAGGACCGTCCCACAGCGACTGACGGGCGTCACCGCCTGACGGGGCTCGTTGAGGCCTCTTCCGGGGCCTCTTTCATGCCGCCGATTGGCTACCTACGCTGCTGTGTGCTGCTGGAGCCAAGTCCTACCAGGCGGCATCGAGAGAAAGTGAGAGTGGGGGGGAGCACATGGATTCCATGAAAAGGGATGAACAGGGAATTGTACATTCAAGTTCATTAGATGCGACCGGACCCTCTACCCGTACGGTATATTTACCTACATTGGGGTGGGCCATGAGGGGTCAATGTCGGCATATATGACAGACATGGAGTGTCTGGGTATATATATATATATATATTATAGTTGGTATCTTCTCTGTCACTTTTTGAATGTGCAAAAAGGGGAGTCCAGAAAGACCCATGTGTCCAAGTCCATCTCACATCGCCCGTCCAAGGTCTCAAAGCCTTTAGATGGCATCAACCACTGGCCCGCCTTGCAGCAGAACACCTCCTCCACACGCAAGGACGTCTACTATGGCACGGCAGCCGCCTGGTCTTCCACCACGTGGAAGGTGGGGGGAAGAGTTACTGTAGTTTGGAGTTGAGTAGCTGCAGAAGGTGCTTTCTATGGATGCCCTTCTTTAGTTAGTGCCTTCTTGAGTACAAGTGAGGCAGAACACATAACGAACGTACTTGGCTTACACGTGTTCAGGGTCTTCAAGATAGACACCTCCCAAAAACCGTGGGGCATGCTTGAGGCAAAGGAGTCGAAACCATCTACCCTCTATCAAACAATACAGACAACGGTAGAACGGTACTCCTCCCACCTGAAGAAGTCCATCAGATTCTACACGCAAAGTGAGGTCGCCCCCTGAAAGTTATGACCTGTCCGACTACAGTGGATTGAGAGTAGATGGCACAATCCCCACCCCATCTAACAGTCAGTCACCTTGGGGGCTGCGCCATCTACTCTGAAGCCACTCATTGCTTGACTTTCAGCCATTCGACGATGCTTCCTCCAAGTCTTCTAGTTTGGGAATCGAATGAGATCATCTAGTTTGAGACAACCCCTAAGACCCACCAAGAAAAGATCTGCATTGACCGGTTTTTGACGGCCAAAGATCCACCTCCAATAGATTGAGGGCACGGCTGGGGACGCTTGAAATTGACACACATGTTCGCGGACACATGACTCAACACAGAAGAGGGCATTGAAAGAATATGTGATCCCTGGTTTTGATCCTTCAACCCCCTTGCAAGACCTCAATGCTCTAAAACACAACAAATAGACGTGAAGAAAACACATAGAAAAGAACACATTGATATTCATGGGACACTATTGCCAAGAATAGGACATCATAGCAGAACACTTGAAGTTCTTCAACAATCTTACAAGAACTTCGGATGTAGGGTCGCCAAATCAGACTAAAGAGGCGGCAAACACTACAACACACTTTGTGCACATCGGAGGACATAGTTTTTTGTTTTATTTTTACATGGAACGCACGGGTAGAACTTGGAAAACTTTGGACAACCTTGAAGAACTTCACACACACACATGGGCGACAAATGAAGCCTTGAAACGAGTGGGCAAAAAGAACAGATGCTCATTGGTTAGAAATCATTTTTCATAGGCCTAAATTTCCAAGGATCACTTCAATTCAGTGAAGTTCAATGATTCAAGCCCCAAGGGCCGCCCCTTCTAAGAGTAGACCCTAAGCTTACAAGATAGAATCACCATCGTTTCAAGGCGTTGGATCGTTTGGGACCGCTTCGTCCTTCTTGGCCGGGTCTGCACCTGGACACGCGCTCCGGCGGGCCGCGAGCTGGTCGGTGGTCGACAGGACCAAAGGCCAAAAAGCCGTGTGATATCTGAACGCCCCAGGCCGAGACGCTGCAAAAGCCGTGTGGAGACATGCCCCGCATCGTTTTTTTTGGGACGAGTTTCTGGTATAATTTGTACCTGCCTTTTCGCAGCTTGCGTCTGTTTTCAGTCGATTTTGAAGCTGAAAGATAGCAAAATGCTTCGCGTTCCACCACGAAACCTGTTTGGCTGCTGGCGTTCCACTCTTTTTCACTTCTTACTCCTCCAGGTTGTCTGGGTTGGGGGTCTCTCTATTTCAGTACACACCCAACCACGGGGTCCACCTACTTCGTTTTCTTATCCAGTTGGAGCAAGTCCTTGAGTTGTTTTTTTCCAGCCACGCAACCGCAACGAGGATGTGGTCGTGGGCGTTCATGGCCCTGCCCTGAGGGACGCAGCGGGATGGCACCTCGGTGTTCCGCAGGTGTGGGGAGGATGAATTCAGATGAGATGAGACAAGGAAGGTGTGACCTGTCCGACCAGGTTCGGTGCTTTCCTTTTTTTCCTATTCAATTTTATACTCTAGTCACCTGTTTGGTGCTGCGGACAACTGTGACTTTTGTACCAGACGACACATCTGGCGGTAGATGGCACCACCAGGGCAGAACAAAAAATAGAAGTCATAATGTTTCATTCCTTACCCAAGGATATCCAAAGCATTCTGACGTCATCTCAGGAAACTGGTGCTCAATGGCGGCGGCGGCCACGGTGATTGGACACCGCATCCTGTGAAGCCGCCTTCCAGGCACCCGGAAACTAGGGTTCGTGCCGTGGGCCGCTGGTTTCCGCGCAGCGCCGGAGGGGAGAAGTGGGTGTTATGCCATAGGATTCCTGCTGCTGAAGCAAACACGGTTCATGGTGAGCAGTCATTAGTGCATGACGTGGTAAGAACCCTTCCCTTTTTGATCTTTTGTGTATCCGATGGATCATGCCTTCAGGTACGAAAACCATTCGACCCAGACATTAGCCGCTTCAGCCATTCAGAAGAATCATTCAGTTTTATGGTGACCGTTGTATTGGGGTCAGGATTGCAAGGACATCTCCTTAATGTCATGGTGTTGGGTGTTGGACTGGTTAAAGCCAGATTATTTTAAGTCTGTGCCAGGAACAAGTCCAAATTGCCAAGTACTATGTAGGAACTGCTTTGAACAAATCAATCCATATCGAGATGTCATGCGGCAGTGTTTTCACACTTGTAAAGGAACGATCGCCACCGGACCCCTGTTTTGGGACACCCCCCTTTGACCACGTTCGCTGGATTCCTTACATCAGTGGCCTCGCATGTCATCCACAATCAAACATTTCCAAAGAAGACTGACAAGAACAGAGCCCATCATGAAATCGAACCATTCGATGGTGTTAGATCAGTGGTCCGACCGCTGATCTGCCAAAAGGTGACCCTCCCAAATAGTAAATAGTCAGTAGAATATATATGTTTAATCGAAGTGTTCCCTCAAATCCCCCCAGCGTGGAGAGCCAGACAAAGATGGACGCCTGAAAATCCTCTACATCTCCTGGACACCGTTTTCTGCATGTTTTTTCTCCGCCAGATTACAATGGACACGTTTTGCGTCCCGCCATGTCGGCACCGGGACCACCGTTCTTCCACACTGAACGCTGGCCGCACGCAGGCGGCTCGAGGACGCAGCACGCAAAGCACGCGGAGCGAGCCGGTGTGGGGCCCCGAGAGAGACAGTGGGAGATGGAGATGAAGTGAGGAAGTAACTCAACTTGGTTGGGAGCCTTCCCGGTTTACATCGCCAGAAGCTCCCGCTTCCCACCGGTGTTTGCGCGGTTTTTTCCGGTGGGTTCCCGGGTTTCGAGAGTCGGAGTTGATGTACATGAGAGCGGCACCTGTCAGCATTCAATCCATGTAATGGTGTGCGATTCGGATTGGAGAATCGGACGTGGGATTCCGTTGGATTCCGTTGGATGTCAATTGAAACGCGTTTCGTGGGACGCTCAGGTTTTGGTTCAATGTAATCATTTGTTTCCTTTTAAACACTCAGAAGACGGTGTGTAACAGGTTCGTCCATGCCCCCAAAAGTAACACCAAGTACCCTGTCGAGCTCCAGCACCTTTCGGCCAGGTACTTGACCAGCAAAAGAAAGCAACTCGTCGGGAGGTTGATGTGGAATGATTTGCACATCCCACAGAGTTGGGGTGTGGTCACCAGTCTTCATTTTTGCATGCTTGTACGGTCGGGCTTGTATATAGAGACTTCACAGTTTGAGCCTGGATTTTCTTTCTCGTGACTAGATAGACTGGAGGCCTAGATGTGGATTTTCATCGCGACCCCCCCACCGGATCCTCTTGGGTTCTCCCCACCCACCGGATCCTCTTCCCAGTTCGGCGTCCCGCCCGCGTGCCGGCCGAGGAGCTATCCGCAACTCTTCGACCTCCAGGGTGACCCTTCGGAGACGACCGACCTCGCCCGGCAGCGTCCGGACCGGTGGGGCGGCTCCTTGATCGCTCGGTCGATCGGGAGGTAAGGGGGGTAGCAGGGCGGTCGCATCGGACCCAGATTTTGAAAGGCTGAGGATGAGGGCCAAGAGACACAGTCCATAGTCTTCTCAGAATCCATAGCTTGCAGTTGTCAACATGTCAGACTCCTGCTCGAACTCGCATTCCGGGTCACACGATGCATTTCATCCTCGAGCCATCGCCCCTTTTGGGACTTGAGAAATGGAGATTACAGCGCTCTCAGGTGCGATTCTCACCCAGCTTCATGAGGAGGAATTGGGCTGCATGGTGGAGAGTGGGCAAACTGTTCTGGATCTGAAGAAGCTATTGGCCGACCGGCTTGGATACTCAAGATTTCGACAAAGACTTTTGAGTGAAGAGGCCGAGTTACGGGATGATATGCCTCTAAGCAACCTACCACCTCTGCAGTTGGTAGTCCTCGACTTCTGCACTGGTGAGGTGGCCGTTCGGGAAGAACTACTCCTCGCGTGCGAGCAAAATCAAGTTGGTGAAGTCGCAAGACTGCTTCAACAACCACTGGATCCCAATGGACATACTGGATTTAATCCAATTTATACTGCAGCTTTCAATGGCCACTTGGAAGTGGTGCGGTTGTTGCTGGAGGCTGGAGCTGACCAACATGCAGCAATGGAAGATGGGGCGACAGGTTTGTTTGCCGCAGCTCAGAATGGCCACTTGGAAGTGGTGCAGTTGCTGCTCGAGGCTGGAGCTGACATGCATGTGGCAAAGGAAGACGGGGCAACAAGCCTGTATGTCGCAGCTGAGAATGGCCACTTGGAAGTGGTTCGATTGTTGCTCGAGGCTGGAGCTGACAAGGATGCTGCAGGGGCAGATGGGCTAACTGCCTTGATGGCCGCAGCTCAGAGGGGCCACTTGAACGTGGTGCAGTTGTTGCTCGAGGCTGGAGCTGACAAGCATGTAGCGAGGGCAGATGGGGGAACAACAGCTTTGTTTCTGGCAGCTCTCCAGGGGCACTTGGAAGTGGTGCGGTTGTTGCTGGAGGCTGGAGCTGACAAGAATACGGCAAAGGAAGATACCGATACCAGATTAGCTTTGTTTGTTGCAGCTGCTCAGGGCCACTTGGAAGTTGTGCGGTTGTTGCTGGAGGCTGGAGCTGACAAGAATGCGGCAAAGGCAGATGGGTCAACCGCCTTGATGGCTGCAGCTCACAAGGGCCACTTGGAAGTGGTGCGGTCGTTGCTCCAGGGTGGAGCTGACACGGATGCAGCCAGGGCAGATGGGGGAACAGCTGTGTTTGTTGCAGCTTTCAATGGCCATTTGAGAGTGGTCCAATTGTTGCTCGAGGCTGGAGCTGACAAGCATGCGGCAAAGGCAGATGGGTCAACCGCCTTGATGGCTGCAGCTCAAAATGGTCACTCGGAAATGTTGCAATTGTTGCTCGAGGCAGGAGCTGACAAGCATACGGCAAGAGCAGATGGGGCCACCGCTTTGTTTATTGCATCTTTCAATGGCCACTCGGAAGTGGTGCGGTTGTTGCTCAAGGCTGGAGCTGAAAAGCAAGCGGCAAAGAAAGACGGGACAACGGCCTTGATGGCTGCAGCTTTCAATGGCCGTTCGGGGGTGGTGCTTTTGTTACTTGAGGCCGGAGCTGACAAGAATGCGGCAACGAAAGATGGGGCAACAGCTCTGTTCGTTGCAGCTCAGAATGGCCACTTGGAAGTGGTGCGGTCGTTGCTCGCGGCTGGAGCTGACCATCATGCAGCAAAGGCAGATGGGGGAACAGCTCTTTGTATTGCATCTGTCCAGGGGCATGTGGAAATTGTGCGGTTGTTGCTGGAGGTTGGCGCTGAAAAGAATGCGGCAAAGAAAGATGGTTCAACGGCCTTGATGGCTGCAGCTCAGCAGGGCCACTTGGAAGTGGTGCGCTTGTTGCTCAAGGCTGGAGCTGACAAACGTGTGGCAATGGTAGACGGGGGAACAGCTCTGTTTCTTGCAGCTTTCAAGGGCAACTTGGAAGTGGTGCGGCTATTGCTGGAGTCTGGGGCTGACAAGAATGTGGCAAAGGCAGATGGGACAACCGCCTTGATGGCTGCAGCTTTCAATGGCCACTTGGCAGTGGTTCGTGTGTTACTTGAGTCTGGAGCTGACAAGAATGCAGCAAGGGCAGATGGGGGAACAGCTCTGTTCGTTGCAGCTCAGAAGCGCCACTTGGAAGTGGTGCGGCTGCTGCTCGAGGCTGGAGCTGATCGGCGGGTGGTGATGGCAGATGGGGTAACAGCTGTGTTGGTTGTAGCTCCGGATGGCCGCTTGGAAGTCCGGATGCTGCGCCGCTGAGTGCGGTGGTGGATTTGTGCAGTGGAAGCTGGAGGCTGGAGTTGGTTCCAGCATGCCACAAAGGAAGGATGGTTGAACGACCTTGACAGCAGCTCGAGGCAAGAGCACAAAGGCATGGGGAAAGGGCAGAAGGATTAGCTGCAGAGTAGAGTGGCCACTTGCAAGCATTGCGGATGTTGCTCGCTGCTGGAGCTAAAGGGCATGTGACAAAGGCAGATGGGCCAGCTGCAGCTCAAAATGTCCACTCGGAAGTGTTGCGGCTTTTGCTCGGGGAGCCCACCATGGCGAACGGTGAATGGCAGTTGATGCACCAATGTTATTGGATGTTATTGGATGTTTTTCTTTGAGTATATATACACACATTTCATGCATTTGGATGCATTTCGTATCAACATTGGGGTCAATTGAGGTTCTAGGTCTTCAGTATGATCTAGGAACTGGTGATATGTCAACCTATCTATGAATAATGATGCTGTAGTTCTAGATAGATGCAAAGTTTCTTTCAAACCTGGTTGTCAGTCCATATGAAGTTTTGAGCAGAACACAAGAAACTAAGCCACAAAAGTTATTGACATCAATTCAATGTGTTTGTATTTATCGCTACAGATGGAGCGGATTGGCGTCCACACCAAACCTCGAAAATCACCAGGACGTGCCCAAAGGAAGGCAGGTGGATTGGACCCATGCGCAGACACTCAAAAAGTACACCCGGGAAGATCAACATGGACCCTGAAAATGGACCTTTGGAAGACTACTTTCCTCTACAACCCGACGTGGTTTTCAGGTTGAACCTGTGGGTCTCTTCCCGGGTGTAACAAGAACATCACATGCGCAGATCCATTTATGCGATGTCCTATATCACGTGTGAGTTCAATGTAGATGGTTTCAACCAGACCCAATCCCTCGTCGGTCTTCGTTTCAACGGGTCGCGGGGAGGACGTCGCCTTCAAGCTCCGACTGCGGCTGCGGCATTGGCGCGCCTCGGGCGTTAACGGCGCGCCGTTGGAGGACTGCCCGGACTTCAGCCCACGCACCTTGGACTGGATGGTCACAGAGGTTGAGACCAGGGAAAACAGAAGAGGTCAAACACCACACGGATGGATCAGTTGGGATGTTCCAGTTGGTGAGTTGATGACATGGGGAAGTTCACTGATTCATTGATGAGCCATAGCAGGGTCTATGAGGGAGAGATGGCTTACACTCTGAAAGAATCATGAGCCAACGTGGATGGCATGGCCTTTTCGGATGACCATGACATCCACATAACCACGATGATTTCAGGCAGTATCAGAGGTTTCCAAACTCTTCGTTGTTCTGTATTCATCACTGCCATCAGTCTCTGTGTGCGATCTTATTCTGCATCCCTCCACCTGCGGAAGAGCTCTATGACCTCAACTCTTCCTGTGCTCAACTCGTGATGCCATGCAACTTAAGGGAACTGCCGAAGAGCTAGAGATTGATTGGTACCACCCAACTCCGCTGGTCTTGATTGTTGAGCATTTTGAGCCATCCCCCTTCCAAAGTGAAGACACCTATGGCCAATCTTTTGTGCAAAGACTAGAGTGTGATTAACATGAGACCGTGGACAGCTTTTTTGCTGCCAAATGAATGAATATATGTCACTGAGAAGTGTAGGAGTTTCTTCTAGCATCTTCTTACAGTACTCACCTACATCTCGGGTTTCATTGCTCGCTGGGTAATGGTCAGCATTCAGTCACTAGGAAGAGGTGCAAAGCACTTGGAATTGGTACCAAGCCGACAACGCCCGGGCTGAAGGAAGGGCCCAGGCACAAGGACCTTGACAGCGTATCGACTTATTACACCATATTACACAGCGCAGCATTTCTCCACGCTGCGTAGAGTTCTGGACAACTGGACATATCAACAGCACACAATCATCAAACCATCACTATACAACAGTTTTCTTTACATTTCAACATATTTTTCCATTCTCTTTCCGCCCGAGGCCGAAGCGGAAAGAGGAAATGGATGGGCCCCTGGTGTGAGTGAGAAAGTCGCATTGCCGGGGAGACGGAGGGTATCTGAAGCGATGAAAGCCCGGGCAGAGGGAGACGGGAGATTGGAATCCCACTTACCCAGTCCAGCGGTGGGTATCGACTCATCAGTAGGATGTGAACAATTGCGGACTCAGTTGCTGTATTTGATGTCGAATCCCTCATATCGCGACACACCTCTGTTGCGGGAAAGCGACCCGTTCATCTTCGTTTTGAAGGGTTGATTGCTTGGCTATCAGCTGGCTCGACATGAGAGATGATAGAGCATAAGATCACCGCCAAGGAACATGCCTAGTGCATCGAAAGAACGATGAAAGAATGTAAAGCTTGATACTGAGTTGATCCTGAATCACGCGTGTAAGAGTGCATTGACATGGCAAAACAGATGATGTTTCTTGACAAGCTTACTGCGTGACTGAAAGGCAACTCGCCTCGAACAAACTGTGACCAAATTCTCTATTTCGGTATCACTGTGACCAAATTCTCTATGTTCAGCTTGTCCAACGATTCCGAGAACCGCTTTGGACGCCTGTTGAGACGCCATGCCTCGTCCTTGACTTGCAGCGACGTTCACCCGAATGCACGTGCTGCGGGTTTGCGCAGTCCAGTCATGCGCATCCAGGTGCGATGATTCTTTTTGCAGAGTTCCCTGCGGGTGCTGAAAGTGCTTGAGAAGGACCCTGTCCTTGTTTTCTGGGGAGAACTCCTCATACCAAGCGTCCCACTACCGGTCGCTTAGTCCCTGTCGGTCTGCCAGGTCAACTTGGGGCTCGACCCGGCTCTTTTTGGTTTTGTTTTTTTCTCCCGTTGTGGGGCTTAAGACAGGTTGTCCACCCCAGCTGTCGCTCGGGAACGCGGGCACTGTGGCCCTGGTGGCAGGTGAGCACGGTGGATGAAAGGAGTTCCAATCCTTGGTCCTTGGAGCTGGACGTGGCCAGTGACATGTGCGTCGCTGAGCTGAAGGAGGCGCTGGGACGTCACAGCAACGTCCGAGCGTCAAAGCCGAGTCGCGTGGACGCCGGTGTCTCATTGGCCGGTCGGGGCTCTTTGCCGGTCGAGCGGAGCAGACGTAGAGTGAAGAAAAGGATACATGGGAAGCAGATTTTGGCGACACGAGGGGGAGGAACTCTGGGTTTTCCATGCTTGAAGCGGAGTTTGCGTCAAATCAATGCCAGCTGCGAGAAATTGGTGTTTGGGTGAACACTCTTCCCATAAGTCATAACATTGTTGCTTGATCAAAAGTGCTGGCAACCCAAGACACTCATGGACCTGTCATGTGCAGCTTTTGTTGTTTGGGTGAGACGGAGAGTTTATGTGGAAGTTGGTTAGGACTCTCCGCAGGGAGAGTGGTTGCATCACTCGTGCGAGGGTGGTGACTGATGACCAGTGCCTGATGACCATACAAGACAACATCGAGTCCCAGGTCCCAGAAGGGTATGCAACAACTTGATCATAGCAAGAAACATTATCAATAGGTCCTGTCGGTTCATGGGTGGGTTCCACAAATCTCCAAAGAGGCCGGCCAGTAGTTCTCACTGATTGGCGAATAGGTGGACCTTCAAAGAGGAAGAACTTGAACAAGTTCTCAAAAAGAGGCCCTTTGACACACCCACAAGGGGTGGTTAATGGACACCCCTTAACCTCTAAGGGGCTATCAATAGAAACCCCTTAGGGTGTCCTGGTTTGACAGACCTTAATATTCTTTGAGGTTTTTCTCTTCCTCACCTCAGATGGAGTTCTCGCTGCAGCGAGACGTTTTCTAGCGATCGGTTCGTGATGTGTTGCGGTCCACATGGAAATCACTTGAAGTGTATTTTTCACCATTTCAGGCTTTAACCTTGGAACAGTTTGAGAATTTCTGACCAACCACGTCTTGAGGTGCATCAACAATACTCAAATCATGTCAACAAGACCTTAAAAATGGGTATCAACAATAGGTTTCCGAAACTTGGCCCACACGAACATCCGCCAGCCTCTTCTTCTGTAGCAACTCTGGGTTCCAAGGACGGCTTTGCCTTAAAGACAGGGCACCAACAAACCCAGTGGCTAAAGAAATACTGTACTAGATTTAAGATTTAAACTGAAGGGTTTTGTGGGTTTCATATGTTTGGCCACATACTGTAGATTTATCAACTTTGAGAAACTCGTTTGACTATAGGTAAGTCATGATCAAGCACTCTTCAAACTGACTCTGACAACACCCATGTAGCTTGTCTGGAAAAGGGGAGTTTTCCATTTCTTCCTGGGGTTTCTTTCTCTTTTTGTTCCTGTCGCCAGGGGTGCAAAGACTTTTGGGTAACCAATGACTCACCTTTCCACTCCGGTGGAATTGGTTTTTGGCGCGGAACGAAAGCCGGGCACAGCCTCAGTGCGGCAGGTCTTGAGCTCAAAGCATGGCTTGGCCTTCGCCAAGTCCACCAAGGTCTTGGGGAAACGTGCCACTTGGAGGTGGTGTGACACGGGTCGGGGGAATCTGAAGGGTCCGAGTTGTGACACGCTCCTTCTTTGTGACACGTGTGGGTGAAGAAGTCAACCACCTACCAGTCAGACTGAAGCAGCCACCACATAGATGCTGAGCTGGTTGATGGAGTGCTGAGCTGGTTCATGAACATGTTCCACATGGTTTCAACTTCTGTATGAAAATGATCTCTCCAATCGCTCATGCCATCCGCTTTTGCTGATAGTTCCTTCCACGATTTGTCCTTTCGACTCACTCCACTTCCAAGGCCAGTGGCGTCATGATCACCCTGGAGGACCACGCCAAGGTCTGTCGCGACATCTTGCTGCGCGGCATCACGCGGCCCGATCGACCGGAGTCGCCCGTGAAAATGTCGTCGCTCTCGCCAACGCCGGTGCAGAAGTTCTTGCAGCGGACGGGGGAGCTGCCCAGCGGTGCGGGCGTCCAGTTTCCGCCCCGCATGGCCGAGCCGAAAGCGAAGGCGGCGGCGAAGGTCGCGGCCAAGGCCTTGTGAAACGGTGCGATTTTCCGCCGTTGGGACTGGGCTTTTTTGAGGTTAGAGGATGGGTGCAAGCGCAGAAAAAAGAAGATTACAAGGCACTTTCTTGAAAACGGCTGAAGTCGCAAGTCATGGTTTCCTAGGTCTGAAGGAAGAGATCATGAACCACCTGGCACAGCAACTACTGACCCCAAAGTGAGTCAGCATTCCCTCGCATTCCCACGCGTTCGTCTCCCTTGGGGTGGGTTTTTGGTCTCCGTCCCTCCCTCTTCAACAGCCGCCCGGCCCATTTCCGCCTTGTCGCCAGCGCTGCGCCAGGCGGCTCCGGAGCAGAAGCGCAGTTGGCTGCGGATCGCCCAGCAGGTCTGGACGTCCTCCGCGCGCGTCGCGCCCACCACCACCAGCGCCAGCGCCTCGCCGCCGCGCACGGCGGCCGGGGCGGTGGCCGTGGCGGCGACGCTGAATCAGATCATGGCACAAGCGGCGAATGAGCAGATCCAACAGCAGCTTGGAGAGCATGCTTTTGTATATAGACAATCATAGATCCCCTCAACAAAAATCTACAAGGCATAGACTGATTTGTCTTCTTTGCTGAGTTTTTGGAGCTTCAGAAGATTGGCAGGACATGAAGGTTCCTAATTTTGGAGGTTCCAAGGGTCTGGTGATTGATTGTGGAGGATCCTTGTTCTTCCCACTTCTTGGTTGAAAAAAGCATCTGACGTAAACCTACTATCATTTTCTTTTTGTCCAGTGAGCCCTACAGCTTTTAACCTCCTTTCTCCCATGGTTTATTTTTCAATTGTCTTCCAGTTCTTCTTGTGAACCCCGGTTCTTCCTTGCTTTGTTTGTTTGGTGTTCGAGGTGTTTGCCTCTCAAGAGCCTGAGGCAGCTTGACGCCCTTCTGAACATTGGAAGTGGCGAACAGAAGCTGGAAACCAACTCTGGCCAAGAAGGCAAGATCATCTACGCCATCATCGAGATGAGCAAGATCTTGTGCCGGCTTTGTCGGCCTATCCTCAGCAAAAATGGATATGGTGATGGAGGTCCCGTGGTGTGGGTGAGGAGAGGGGGCTGTTGATGCGAGTTTTCCTGAAAGGAAAGGGTCACTGGCATCCTCAAACAATGAGGGGGGCGTGTCTCACATGAGGCCCCAAACAATAGGTCTTGATTCACTTGTTGAATTCCCAGAATTGACCAAAACCTTGGCTTTAACCGATCCTTGGACAGAACAAGCCTCCAAAGCCTCCTGCCATGTTCTGAGCTGCCTTGATTCACCGTGGAGCCCTGGGCGAAGCGTGTGACGCGAGCCAACGCCGAGGCTTAAGGTCCTTCTCCCTCTTCTTTGGTGCCATCGAAGAGGCCACGATCCTGGAGGATGTGAGCCGGCTTTTAGGCCTGCGATGGCCTGGGGGATGTGACTGGCCTGGTGGATGGTGGGCGTTCAGTTACATGGGAAAACATGGGGACATATCAGTTTTAGCAGCTTTTGAGATGTGGGGGTGAAACATCTAGTTTCTAGGTAAAATCTTTTGGAGGTTTCTTCTTCTTCTTCCTCCTCTTCTTCTTCTTCTAATGCTCAGTTCAAGCTGCCCTTTTGGCAGGAGGTGTTGACATGCCCAGAAATTGACGCCCAGCATTCAGAGCAAATACTGTATGTTGAAGATCTCAAACGAGACAGGTTGAGTGTAAAGAAGAGGTGGGCAAGGTTTTTCTTCTTGACGTGCGGTGACGAAATCCACAGCAAAGTTCCGCCAGCAAAAACGCGCGATTCGTCGCAATGTCGCATTGTAGAACTGTACGCAAACTTTGCAGGTTCCCAAACATGTCACTTTGAACTGGCCAGCGGTCTTAGTATGTGGACAAGGCTGCAAGCTGTATCTGAGCACTTGGCACAACTTTGTTCATTGTTGTCCAGAAGAGGTTGGTTGTTGCGGAAAAACAGATATTGCATGTCAATTCGCGCTCATTGCTGATGGGGTGATCTGAAAGATGGCGTTTTGTTGATATGTAGGATAAGTAGTCGAACTCGCTTGAGGTTGAGTGCCTCTGTACACTTTGACAAGCCATGCGTACAAGGATTTACATAGAACCACCCCATTGTCATGGAATCCATAGGAGCTCTGCCTTCACAACCAGACTCAACTGCAATATCTGCAATACTCTTCAGCTTCTTTCTTCGACCCGGCCGCCACCACGGACCTCCCCACGCCCGCGGACGACCCGACCGGCCGAACCCGCCAGGCTCGTTGCAGTACGTCCTCTGGATGGGTCCGGAGGGACGTCCCCCGCGGCGCGCCCAGCTGCGCGCCGTCGCGTCCTCGCTGCAGCTGGCCTTCGCGCACCACGCCGCGCTGCCGCCGCTGGAGCGGTATGCACGGAGCCATGCGCGCACGGTAGCCTTAGTGGAGATGTTGCTGAGGGAGTATGCCCGAGGTGGGGAATGAGACATGGAATGAGAATGAAGAAGGGTGGAGAATGAGAGCATAGGTGGGACTGAGACTTATTGTGGAGGGGGTTTCAGATCATGCTGGGGTGGAGGATGATGGAGACCTGAGATGGGTGGGTGGCACTTGCGACCGGGGGGTTTCTCTTCTTCGGAATGTTTCGAAGAGACGTACAGACTCGGTGAATCGCAGGGCCTTGCTGCAGGTCTTCACTTTTCCATCCAAGCCCACCCTTCCACGACAGAAGGCCATGTGAATACCTGCAGATTGATTGAGACTGGATCAGACACCCAATATCGGCCTGTCATCCGTTCAACTCCTTCCACATATACACTGCAGGTCTCTATATTATGGTTCATTCGAAATAGCCAAAAAACTTTACAGCATATCACATGCCATATGTGTGTGTGTGTGTATTATACAACATATATTACTGTATACACAAATTATACATATACATATATATATATATGTATATATATCTATGTAGAAGCTTGCAAGTTGATACAATATGTAGGTCTCGACAGCGTCATGAACTACGAAAAATAGGTTTTGACACATGCATCTCTTCCAATGGGCACCATACATGAAACTACACTGCGCATACGAATCGTCGCGTGGTCACCCGTCGGCGCCCCGCGAGGCGTGCGCCCCGTTTGGGCCACGCCGGAGGCCCAGCGCGCGCGAGCGCTGCTGGTTTGGGTTTGGGGTGCCCAGCGGCAGCTGGAGGGCGCCTTAGCAGAGTCGGGCTATTATGAGGAGGCCGCCGCCTTCTTGAGTGGCTCCGAGGTGCCGGGTGTGTGGGAGTGGGAGGTCCAAGTTGCCAATCACAGCGGATGTGTTGGAAGGATTTGTTGGCTGCTATTCTTGAAGCGGGTACGTTGTACAAGCACTCTGTCACACCTTGAAGTGGGTACCGAAACGATAAGCGATGTGAGCTTCTTGGTGCTCTCCTTTGCTTTCAAAATCACCACTGAATCAATATCAAAACATCCCAGAGGCTGCTACCTGTTCTTCCATGGTTCTTTCCCTTTTCTTCTTAAGGTTTTTTCTTTCCCTTCTCTTCTCTGTCCCATCCAGGAGCGTCTTCACCTCTGTCTGCTGGGCGACTTCACCGACCCCTGGGCTCCCTCGCTCCGACGGCGCGTGCGCGTCACCACCGGCAGCATCGCCAGCGCGTCGAACGCGTCGAGCACGGCGAGCGCGGTGGATTTGGTCTTCTGTCCACACGGGCGGGCGGAGGAGGTGGCGAAGGCGCTGCAGGTGGCTTCCGAACGGAGCTGCGTGCTGGCGGTAAGCAGCTGTTCGGAAGAGGAGGCAGAAGACATGCTGAGAAGGCTGGAAAAGTGCGGCTGCAAGGCCATTTTGCGTCACTTGGATGATAGTGGTTCTTCTTTCCAACAAACATGGGCGCGGAAAAACTGCAAGGAAAAACACATGGGGTATTTCTAAATGATATTGTTGTTGTCGTTGTCGTCGTCGTCGTCGTCGTCTTTTTTCGTCTAATTCATTCGAGGACCGGAAGGTCGGTCGGTCGGCACCGGTTTCACCGGTTTCGGTTCCTGAGTTCGACCGAGTTCGAGTCGTTGGTCCGGCCGAGCCTCGCTTGTGAAACGTGGGGTGAAACGGTGGGGTGAAAACATCGGTGACTTTCGGTGACATTCGTTTACATGCAGATGTTGAGACGAACGAGACCATTCCCTTTGGTCAATTCGACTTCCGATTGACCCCGTGCATCACTGAGAACAGTTCTGGAGACACATGGTTTGCTCCATGTCCCATCAGTCCACTCATTTCACAATCACAATCCCAAACAAAACCCCGACTTCTTTTGACGTGCACCGCACGTCTCCTGGGTGTCTTGATCCACCGCTTCTCCCTCGCCTGTCTCGGGGTCGGACCTCCCATCCGACCCCATCCGAACCGCACCGCCCGCCGCGACCGACTCGCCGCTGCTCGACGTGCCGACCGACGCGCTCGCTGCGGTCGGCGTGGGTCCCAGGCAAAGTTCGCAACCTCTTCTCCAGCATGGCCGCTGGCTCGGCGGCCAAATACGACGCTCACGGCTGGATCAGCGCCGTGGAAGTGCCCGCGGGCGCCACGCTGGAAACGCTGGAGGAGCCCAAGGCGGAGCTTCAGAGTGCGAAGGAGCTCCGTGGGGTGGGGAGATGGAGACAGGTGGAACTGGTCTTTGTTGGTTTTTCCCCACCTGTCAGGTGAGGGCGCAGATCACTCGAAGTAAAGTGATTTTTTGGGACTTGGATTTGCTGAGAACATGGATGAATGTCCCCATGTCGGAGACGCACGACCCACCAGAACTCGCCAGAACTGCCAAACGTGCAGGACGAGGCCAAAGCTGCCAAACGCAGTCCTGCTGTCTTCTGGGGCATTCTTGAGCCTTGGAACGTTTAGCGTCGGCGTCGGCGTTTCTGTATGTTTCTGATCGATGTCATATCATGTATAGCATCTATATAATATATATATATAGATTCTTTTCAATTTTGGAGACATTGTGGCATACTTCCTTCAAGACTCTTGGATCTGCTCAGTGTTCCCGGATCTAGATGTCTTGTCCAAGCATGATGTTCGGAACTCCATGTCGTCCACTCCATGTCTCTGCAACCACGCGTGAAGGTGCTCACTCCACGCCGTCGTCGTCTTTCACTCCACCGCCTTCGCCCCCCTGTGCCACTCCGGCGGTTCGCCACTCCTCCACCCTTTCTCGGGGAACGTGACCCGCGGGAACGACCCGCGCGACCGCCGGTGGACCGCGCATGGGACGCCAGCGACACGCCAGGACTTGAAGTACGACCCGTCGCTGCCGATGGAGCGAAGGGTGAAGGTCTTGGAAACGGGCGATGGACGGTCCTCGAAGTTCAGTGGCTATGGGGCGGCCATCAAGGAGAGGGGGGTAGCAGGGTGGGGTGGAGGTCTAGCTCGGAGGAACATGTTATTTTTGTGGAAGGGAAGGGAAGAGATGAAGCAGATGGAGGAATGGAGATTTGGAGGACATGGAGGACATGAGGAACAGCCGAGAGTGACTGAAGGAAATGGAATGGAGATAATCTTTGTAGCAGTTTGCTTAGACTGCGGTTGGGAACGGCAAGAGTTTGGTTTGTTGATCCTCCAGAAGCTCCCGTAGGAAACTATATTTGAGCCATGGTGAGATGATGAGGGTTTGAGTGTTTGTCTTCGATTGTTTTGAAGAATTGGGGAGACCCAAAGGAAACATGAACTAATGGCCGCTCCACCAGTTGTCGATTCCTTTCCTTCGGATGGATAAATATTTGTGCTGTCCAGGAGAACTTCAAGGCGGACAAGAAGCTGGAGGAGACCATTGAGTGGGTCATCGTGTCAACCCAAACACCTCATGCCCCTTCATGAGGCCTTCTAATAATGTCTCACATAGGATACCTTAGAATCATGTAGTCGTTTAGGGTGTAGTGTTAGGAAGTGGGGAGGACTTTCCGTACCCAATTACCCAATGTCAATCCGCCTCATTGACTAGGTTGCCACTCTAGCTGCAGCCGTATGACAGAATGTTACAATCGACTCTACAGTATGCTATGGAAAACCACAACTCCAGGGTTTTTCAAAGATTCAGGAGACCCTTCATCGCGCTGTGCTGGTGGAGAACAAGAAGTTGACTCATGACTTCTTCGTCGAAAGTGGCTACCAGCATTTGATGCCCAAACAGCTCTGCTTCCGACGGATCTACCAGGAAACGAGTGATGGCCCAAGTGATGAAACATGGTCGAAACATGGGAGCGACAATTGATCGGTGGCTCGACTTGCCTGAAGCCCTGGACCTTGGATTTTCTTTCAACAGATTCTTGGAGAAGCTCTTGATTGGAGCACTCGCAGTCTATTTTACCAGCCGCAACACCCGAAGCCACTCAAAGACCATCAAAGATCTAAAGACCCTGATGTTTGCGTTGGCGGTGGACATCACTCAGCCCACTCTGGCATCCAAATTTGTTGAGCTCCATCTCAATCAATTTAGCCTATTTGCCGGCTTTGGCTTCGGTTTCCTTGACGGCTCATCCTCTGCAGGACTTTCTGGCCTTGGACATCATCCAAGGCTTGGGTTTGTCCACCTCAGGCTCGCCCTCTGCCTGTGTCTTGAAGCTCTGCAACCGGGCCAGGCGCGGAGAGGACCCGTGGGGAGTTTCGCACGTGGCCTGGAGTCGAAAGCGGAGAGTGAGGACCGGTCCGAGTCGAAAGGGATGATGAAAAAGACCCTGGAGTCGAAAGCTTATCTCAACAAGTCTTTGGGTTGATGCTCCCGCAGTCCCCCCCCAAGTCGGTCGGTTTTTTTTTTTTTTTTTTGTTGGATATCTAAGTCGACAGGACCTCAATTTTGGTGGTTGTTGGGCCACTTGGTGTGAGAAAAGCGCATGTACTTATATACTTTCACAGAAGCAATATCAGTTCGCAAGAATCCGTCATCAGTTCGAAAGCATTCAGATGCATTGAGCAATCTTTGGTACAAGAGGAAGAGATTAATGTGAGCATCGCGTACCAGACTCGCTGGTTTTTCTGCAGGGGCGCTGGCTGCATCCCGATCTCCGCGGATGATTTGGACGTGGCGCTCGAGAGGCTCTTGACCTTGCCCGACAACACCGAAGAGTGCCCTGGACTGGGCATCTAAGATGACGCCCTTGTAGGACAACACACAGAGCGACCCATTTGGCCAAGGGCGCAGATGCAGACACATGGAATTTTGATGAATTTTGGATTTTTGTGAATTTTGCAGATATTAGTCCAGATGTCAATGTCTCTCTTTGCCCATGGGTTTATGCACATGTGCCGTATCCTGGAGCGATGCCCATCACCAGCTCTTGGGGTTGCCCACGCATGGCCGCACAACCCCACAGCTTGCTGCTGCCACGCTGCTGTACGCACGAGGTGGCTCGAGGAGCAGGATGAGAACTTCCCCAAAGACTGCGAGTAGCTTGCCACTTGCGGAGCCTTGTGGGGTCTCGAGTGGAGTTGCTTGATGTGGCCTTCCAAGATAGGCATGGCAACAAGAAGCGCCTAATTCTTCTCAAAACATTTAGAACACCAATGAATTTGGTTTCTTTCCCATTCAATTCTTGAGTAATACCTGAAAAGGGGTGATTCATACCCTTTCCACTTGTCTTTTCTACTTTAGGGACTTGACTTTGAGAGCCAATTTCTGTTTGTGCCTGAAGGGAACCAGATGAAGGTGAGACCATTGGGGACATTTGTACCACTTCTGATCTCCTTCTAGATCATAGACCTCAAAGAGATCACTCTGAGGAGAGGCAGGGTGAAGGAGATATTCCCGCCAAGAACGACAGACCCAGACATGCGAAGGGGTAAAACCATCGCGTCATGCGTCAAGAAGACCTTGAAACGATTAGTTTCAACTTGTAATCCTTTGCACTTGGATTGTTGACGAACACTTGCTTCCCAAAGGTTGTATCATTGGCTGTTTAGGAAGTGGCCAGTATAGATAGAACAAAGAACCCCCCTTGAATGTGTGCAAACTATTGTCCGGGGAAGATCTATGTTCAACATTTGTCTACATCTCTCAGCCACATGCGTCGTCTACTCACCCCATTGCTTTTTCCGAATCTGTGTTTTGACATTCCCCGCCTTCCCCCCACCGCACCACCCAAGAAGAACGCCGTTCACCCGATCATCCAACGCCAGGTGGGGTTGCTTCGAGGAGCAAGTCCGGCACTGGTGGTCCAACGAGTGTCCCGTCTTCGTCTGTGAGGAGCTTTGCCACTCTGCGCCCGTGTGGCAGGAGGGCAAAGGCTACGACGCCACCATGCGCGTGGGTTTTTCCTTACACCGAGTGGAAGAGCCTGAGAAGGAGGAGGAGGAGGATGAGTGGCCAGGTGGCAGTGGCAAGTTGTGGCTTTCAGCTTTTGGAGTTGGAGGGTGTTTTGTCAGGAAATCATAGGAAACCAGCGTGGTTGATGGAGTTTGAGCATGAAATAGATGACGTTCCTCACAGCTGTCTCTAATGAAGGGATTGTAAAAGGAATTGATTTGGTTGACCAAGCCATGTTTTTCTGAGATGACCATGTTGGGGGAACTCAACGAGCAAAGAACCAAAGGTAAAGGTTTGCCGTTAACAGAACCAGCAATGTAAATTTACAGATCTTGGTACTTGGTTTTATGATATGTTATGTTTATCATTACTACAAGGTTTGTTGTTGCCATTGTCCAGGCCTTTGAATATCTGTATCGGGCCTGGATAGTGAGTAATCCACTCCACATACTCAAGGACCCAAGGATACAAACGGATACTGCATTTTTAACCAAAGAGCAACACAAAACAAAACTGTGTGCCCGTTTCCACATACTACAGCATTAGATACATCATAATTCATCATACATGCGGATCATTTGTGTGGCCTACCTACGAATCTCAAGGATCTCCACCACTGCCACCATCCCTGGGACCCCATGCGCACCTCGCCTCTGCATGGAGGACCTTGGTGAGTGGCTTCGAGCAGCAGCTTCAAGACCTGCAGCAGGAGGAGGTGTTCTGGCCCGGCGAGGCCCGTGTCGGCGCCCTCGCGAGCCTCGGTTCACGCGTTCGGAACGAAAAAGGCGGTGGGCTGAGAAATCCAGGACGGTCAAAGACACAACTTTCCGCAAGCAACAGTTGGGTGGACATAGAATCATGCAACATAGTCCATTAGGCCACTGACACCAACTTCCCCTGATTTGCTCTTCCGTTTTGAGTTGGATGTGTGTGTATGTGTTTTTGAACAAATTGGCTGGAGCGATCAACAGGGTGGTGCATCCATTTCTGGGGGGGTTCGAAGAATTTGCTGTGTAAATCGTCCCCTTCATTGTTGCCAACTTCGCCCACTTCACCAGCTCTTCAGCTGCTGAAGTGCCGCTCAATGGCCCCAGCAACTGAAGCTGCTTCAGCCGCTGAAGCGCCCAGGATCGAGTGGCTTGGAGGCTATTGGAAGCTTCCCGCCGAGGACTTGAATTGCAGCGACCTGTCGGCCAAGATCATCAGCAAGGCTCGTCAGGGCACCGCGCCCGTGGAGAAGCATCATCTCCAGGAGGCCGGGAGAAAGGGAGGAAGGAAGAGGAAGAAGGAAGCAGAAACGAGGAAGGAAGGCGAAGCTGCCCAGGTCCCCAACATCATCTGGGCAAGGGTTTCGGGGCAAGCTGGGCCAGGTCCCCAACATGGTCTAAGAGACTTTGGTATCGTTTTGGGAGGGATTGGGACGCCGAGCTGCTCAGCCGGCGAGGACATGCGCGGAAGACGACGCGGACCGGACCAGGTCTACGTCTCTTTGGGTGATGCAGTGCAACAGGTCTTCACCAACGCGAGTCTGTCGCCACAGACGTTGCTGAGGCGGGTCCGGGTGCGGAGGAGGGGGAAAGAGATGGGAAGGAGGATGAACAACAATACTGTAAACTATAGTCAATAGACTAATTAACTATACTGTACTTGGGTCTCCAACAGCAGAGAGAGGTGGGATTGTTGAATTGGAGGGAGAAGCAATCAGGTCGATCGTCGAATGTGGTTGGGAGTGGTTCTTTACCAGACCCACGCCATCCCACGCCACGTTTTTCCTTTGGGGTTGGCATAGCCACCTTGGATAAAATGTCAGGTGCTCCTCCTTGGTGAGAGCGGGGTTCACAGTCATTTCAATGCCTCATTTCTGCAGAAGTCGGATTTTCTGCAAAAGTCGGATTTTTCTGCAAAAGTCGGATTTAAGCACCACCATCCCTTGGAATCCGAAGGACAACCCTGGCAGGCGCTACCCCAGCATGAGCGAGCTGGGTGCCTTCATCGCAGCGCGCTTGGCGTGCTCCATGCGCCAACGAGATGTGAACAAGAGCAACCAGGTGAGAGTCAGTCAGATGGTTCATTTTTCATGGCTGGCTGGGAACTTGAAACCATCCAAGGAAGCTAATATGGACTGGACTGTTTGTTCCAAAGTTGTACGAATTCCTCAGGCGAAAATTTGGTAGGAATTGTTGGCGGGGGCCAATTTACAGAAACAGCAGCGTCAAGCAGGACTCAGCAACACCTGGAATGGGAATCCTGCTTCAGACGGGGTGTCCCTACATCTCAGGTAAATCCAGAACGCGAGCATCGCGTCGCAGCGGCGGACTCGCAGGTAGCATGTGCTCGATTCCCGAAGGGCAGTATCATCACATCATTCCCAGGGATTGACCCACGCCACTTCTTCCAAACATTTCCAAACAGCTTGAAGATTACTATGTCCCTTTCTGGGCTCAACAGGCTCCTTGGAGCTTGCAATCAGGAATTCACAAAGCCAACGGCAGAGAGTTTGCTTGCGGAATTTCGTCATGCTTATTTGCTTGGAGAAGTGCCCACTTCATCCTGCTCGCCCATTGTCGGTCATGGGAATCTCCTGTCCACTTCACTGGCCTTTTCCCTTCGTTTTCGCCGCCAAACCCAAAACTTCCTGCCACACCAAACCCAAACCCAAGGGCCCCTGGCACCATTTTCCCAACCCCAACCGCCCCAAACGCGCTAGCTGAAGCCTTCCTTCCTTTGTTGTTCCACGATGTTCCACGTTCCCGAACGGGCACCGGTACCTCCGGCGCCCTCGCACCGGAGGTCTTGGGCTTGGCGGAAGCGGCGTGTGCCAAGTGCACCTCACCGACCAAGGCCTTTGCCGAGTCGTCCCTCGGACGGGTTCGGGCGCCGGGGCACGGCGGCCGGGGGAAACGGCACCACCAAAACGAGAGAGTGCTGGGCATGGAAGGGGGGGTATGGGGGGGTGAAATTGAGGGGGGGGTTCTTTTGCCAAACTGATAGAAACAGTATGAAACAGTTAGTTGTTTCCTTCCTTGATCCTCTTCCGTCCTCGATCCGGACCGTGGTTTTTGGATCCTCCCACCGGTGGCTCCACAGCACCGAGGTACATCGCGCGGAACTTCGGCGCCTTCGAAGCGATGATGGGTCGCCCCAAGGCCGCCGGAACTCGGCGCGGAAAACGCGCACGGGGGAGGTGGTCCGTGCGGGGGTGGGGCATGGGAGGGTGTGGGGCGTTTTGTTAGGTCCGGTGGTGCGGGGGAGGGACGGAAGTCGAGTGAAAGGGCCAGGCGGTTTAATAGAAGAGGGTTATGGTCGGCGTGGAAGAGAGACATAAAGTATTCAAACGCCATGAAGATGTGAACTTCCGGCCACAAGCCACAACCTTGGAGAAGGATCTCACGGCAAAGGCAAGTGACTGGAAGTTGAATGTGTTTGTCCTAATCACTTTTGACGTTTTTGCCTCCAGCACCAGCAACCCCAAATACCTTTGCCGTTCTTTCCATCAGGAGGCTTTACTTGTTTGTCATTTGGAGACAAACCTGGACACGAAACAACAACTCTTGCGTGTTGGTTGTTTCTTCAAACAGCCAGCACCTATAGTTTAGCAGCTAGGTTCCACTGCTCAAGTTTCGATCTTTTTGTTTCCATTTTCTTCTTGGACCAAGCCAAATGTACCAAGCCATGGCTGGTGGAGCCACCGGTGCTCCTCGTCCTCGGTCCACCCAGCGCCACCAAGCGCGCCCGCGAAAGCAAGGCCACGGAGCACCTGCAGAAGGCCATCCGGGCGATGCCCACGAATGCCACGGCGCGGTACATGCTGGGCATGCGACTGTTGGAGGTCGAAGAGTCTTTGGTGCAAACGGTCTGGGGGACGTCTGGAGGAGTGAACTTCGGGGTGATTCGCAAGCATTGCCCAAGCCCCAGCTTGGTAGGCTTGAAGAAGAGACTGTGAATTTGCTCCCCGCAAGAGCTTCGCTGCCATAGTTTTTGGTGCTAGGCTTTTGCATGCTGGATATGTATGGATATGTACTGTGTTGTGCCGCATGTGACGGCTTCGAGAACATCCGTCTTCTCACTCCAAGAAGCACTTTACAACCCAATATTTTCTTGGTCAGTCGAGGTGTGAACAGTTTCTCAGGATTGACCACACACTCGAGGTGAGGTAAGTCGAGGTGTGGTTTTCTTGGCTTAGAACATTTGGTAAGTTCCTTGCTTAGACGTCCGAAGTCCTTGGTGTAGTTGGTTTGTTCCAATCGCTGAAGGATTGGTCTGCAGCCATCGGCTGCTTTCGAGAGAGCCTCCAGTTGGATCCGGACTTCAAAGCTCCATGGGTCACTCGGTTCACTTCGACGCAGAGAGGACGCGGAGAGGACGCACGAGGGCACGCGGGAGTAGCGGAGAGTAGCCAAGGGAGGGCGTTGGGAGTCGTTGGAAGGTGGATCAGGAACGCAGATCGTTGGATGAATGGAAGGCCATCGCTGGAGGCTCCAGATCCAACGACTGAGTGACGATTCTGAGACGTCAAAAGGTGACGATTCGACTTTTTCGGTTCGTTGGCAGAGTGTGCAGTACATAGTGGCAGAAGGATTGAAGAGCATGTGGCCATTGATCAGGCAATCATGATTGTTCCTTGGTTCGTCATTAAAATAGAGAAGTACTCAGAGACTGGTTGATGGTTGTCCAAGCCTTTCGAACATCCGAACGCAACCAAGCACGATCTGCGTCGGAATGATGCTGTTACACCAGCACTGGTCGTAGAAACACAACAGAACATGTCGTCCCACTCACCAACATGGAACCCTTGTAAAGAGAACTGTTTATCATTGTTTATCTATATTGCATGCGTCTGAGGGTTCAAACCACATCTGACGGAAAAACCAGGTGAACATGGGCGTGGCTTTCTTGCGGCTGCAGCAATGGCAGCGCGCCATCGAGGAGCCCACCTGTTCCGGTTGACATGTTCGACGGAGGGACCTGCAGGTGTTCGACGGAGACGCCATGTACCCATCGGTCTGCCTGGGTGTTGGGGAGACGCTACGCTGGTTGGAAGAGGCATGATGAACCATTGATAGCCATAGCCCCAGCCCACCCCCATCATTGTGAAAATTGTTGGATAGGACATCGCAACTGTCCAAACAGAGCCCACAGTCGTTTTTTTTGCGCCCACAGTCGTAGCGCACACGTGTGCAAGCAAACGGTCCAGTCTGTCAGACCGGTGGATTCTCTCGAAGTCCTTAGGCTGGTGGTTCTATGGGGGGAACCTTCTAGCTGGTGGGTCGGAGGGTTTTCCAGGAGCTGGGGGGATCCATCATATAGCATCAGATAGCCGAGATAGCATCATACCTAGCCCTATCTGTGAATTCCCAAACCAATTTCTTGGACGTCGTGATTTCAGATGAACCGAATCATCATGACTCATCCTTGTACCGTCGCTCGAATGTGTCTAGACTATCTCCAGGTTATGTGTAGGCATGAGATGTCTCACACCTACTGTAGGGTGGACTTCAGACCTCAAACCCTACCTCAAGCTGCTTGTAGATCTGAAGGGTATCCGGTAGTGTGAGACCTATCTCCAGAATGTGTCTCCCTCCCTTCAAGACCTTCCAAGTTCAAGCTGCTTGCTTCGCGCTTGGTTCCCACTGTTCGCCTGCGCGGTTCGACCGCCGGCTCGGCAGTCGGTTCGGTAGGCCAGCGACTGTGGAGTCTACCGGCACCCCAACACCGCGCATTGCTTCTACAACAAAGGCTCGGTGGTCTGGAGCACGATGCCACAACTGAAGTTCGCACCTGGAGCTGCTTGGAGCACCTGCTCTATGGCTAAGGGCTATGGAATCCTTTGACAGCTTCCATGTCGAGACTTAGTAGACATTGGGACTGTAACTGACCACAAGTCTTGAGCATGTATTCAAGGCATGAACTTCATGATTTTCATAACAATTGCATGTCATGACTTTTTGTTCATGAACAAAGCAGCTCTGACATGCTCTGACCTCATATTCTGTTCGACTTCACAAAGTTCCCAGAGCTCGGCTCTGTGAAAAAGACCCCGGAACACCCCCTCAGCTGGCCCCGTCGATGTTTTTGCGGTCAGGCCTCGCTTGCTTCTTCCTGGCCTTGCAGGAAGAGCAGGTTCGAAAGCTCAGGACTCGAGCGGGTCACGCTCGGCGAAGGGGTCACGGTCGATCGTCGCTGAACGGCCGCCTACTGGAACGGCCGCTGGAAAGGCCTTCCGTGTGGAAGGCCCCAGGCTTAGTGGTGGCTTTGGTTTGCAAGGTTTCAAGGCACAGGGCCTATTGTTATAAGTTATAAGAGTGAAGCGACTCAGAGGAAGCAGTCAAAGCTCGAGTCGTCACAGTCTCCATCAGTCTCCGGTGGCAGTCGGAGTCTATAACTGCCTGTAGTAGAGGACCACTTGCACAGCCGTAACCCATGCGGAAAACCTTCATGTCCACTTTCTTCCGTGGAGATGTGAGATGTCACAAGTCACATGTCCATCGTTTCCTTCCTTTTCTTCCATGGATACGCAAAAAGAACTTTCAAAAGCTCCCCGTTTTTCAATGGGAGGTGTTGCTACCCAGAGCACGTTTCCATTGGAAACTATTACAACGTCCAGTGGAAGAGGCTTTTGACATCCATATGGTCCATATGAGCTGGTCACATATCGGTCTTTGCATCGAAGTAGATGGTCTTGTGATGTCTGTAGTTACATGTGGTTACCCCATGCGGTAGATTTAGAGCGCCACGACATTTTCCATGAACGTTCCTCAAAGATCTTAAAGATTATTAGATTCACGAGTGGTGGATCTGGAGGTGTTCCTCTCTTTTGTACCCACAAGCAAGAAACTCGCATAGCCTGGCCTGGGTTCGATGTCGCACGCTGTGCCATCTAAGGCCCAGGCCAAGAATGGAGTTTGGCATCCACATGCCTCGTGCGCTCGGCATTGGGTGAGTCATTGAAAGGGGGGAGGTGTTGGGAGCTTTCCAAACGTTGGGGGGGTCGCCTTTGACCGTTTTGACCGTTTTTCCATCGTTTTTTACTGGCCAATGCGGACATGAAGGGGTTGTGAAGAGTTCGCTGGCCAGGTGGCGAAGCCAAGCGCTGCAGGCCTTCCGAGATGCACGTGCCAACCTCGAAAGGAGCGGCTATACGGCTTCAGCGTCTCACTCGCGCGCAGCGCAGCGTCCCGAGGGGATGCAAACCCCGAGGACGGTCGGATGTTTCGGGGAATCCGAGGGAAGGTCTTTTGGGGGCTGGGGGGATTTCTGTGAATGGAGGTCTTTTGGTCTTTTGGTTTGGTTTAGGGTTTCGGGTTTGGGACCTGGGACCTGGGATCCTCGGATTTGGGTTCGAGAAGTTTTGGGCGGGGGAAGTCCTTGGGACCCGGGTGATGTGGCGCTTCCGCCCGACAGGTCCAAAGCGAGTGCAGGTTTGGAGCAGATCGACTTTGGGAGGAGTAGAAGTAGGTTTGTATTGGGAGAGGGGGACCCTCAGTTGGACCGGCTAGTAGAGCTGGGACACACATAGACAACTAGGAGATACTAGGAGGGACTCCCCCAAGTACAGACTCCAAATGGAGTGTTTGGACAGACGTCGCCATCTCCGACACTCCTCCGTCGAACACCTCGTGGGCGGCCGATGACCTCGTGCCGATGAGTGCCGCTGCAGGAGTTCCCTTTGGACCGAGAAGGACGACCAAATGGCCACTGGGCTGCCGGAGAGAGCATGGGAGACACAAGACCTGAAGCATGGGAGACACAAGACCTGAAAATGCATTCAAGAGCTATAGATGCCTGGACCGGGCCTGGAGCACGGGTGAACTGCTCCGGCCTGGCGGCTTTTTCGTTCGGCAGTGGCCCGTAGGACCTGTGATGTCCCGGACCGGATGCTTTTAAACCAAGAGGCCTTGCACGACCGGATCTGCTCAGTTGGCTTGACATTCGCCGGACAGGACATCGACGGACATAGAGCTAGCCATCGTCAGGTCGTTCGCTGACGAGCATTGAGCATTGAGGTCAGCAGCCTTGAGAACTCTGATGCGTGCCTCGGAAAGCCCTTGAGTTGGGATGGTGCCGCCCTCAGAGGTTCTCCCCAATGGGAGATCGTCCGAGAAGATTCCTCTAGAGTGATCAGAAACAGGTGGCGTGACCGGCGAAGCATCCAACCATACCATCGGCCGGGCCAACCGGTGCTCGGACTCATCTCGCGGGTAGAAGAAAAGTTGTCATGTGACTCTTGCACTTGGGAGTCTTTTTGAAACTGTTCCCATATGACCTGCGGTAATCTGTAGTAAGTGTAGTACAGATTCCTTATTTACTGTGTACAGATTCTTGGCGAAAGTTTCTGTCTCCTTATTTACCCGTTCCGTTACCTTCCTTCATTTTTTTCCCAAAAGACACCAACTCCCTTTTTGGACAAAGCAGACGGGCCCTCCACCGCGGCTCAGGCTGGAAGTTCTTCGCTTGGCGACCCTGAAAACAAACGCGTTGACATCGCCGTCTCCCTCGGCGGCGGCGTGGTTGGCTCTTCGGTCACCGGTCACCTCGTTCCGCGTCGACGGAGGTCGAGGAGCGGTGAGCCGCCCTTCAATCGGTCGGTCTGATGGAGTGATCGAGTGGAACTCGGACCATCGGAGAGTGAGTCTTTGGTGAGCTTTCTCCATGAAAAACGGACGCTGCCACTTGACCTTTCGCCCGAAGTGGATTTGGCGGGCGAGTTGATGCAGAGAGGGCAAGAATTGCCTAAGACCCAATGATTACCAGACAGGTCTCTTCGTAAATATGTCCCCTGGTCAACAGCCAGCTTGCACTGAGAGCTTGCTGAAGCTTGCAGCTGCCCATGGCTCTAGAAGCTTGATGGCAACACACAGGACATGTGGCATGTCCAGCGCTCGTCATAACGCATCATGTCACGTTCTGGACTTGGAACAGCTGAAACAGCTGATCTTGGACCTGAAACAGCAGGCCAGACCCTGAAAATAAAGCACCCAACAATTCCAAAGCGCTTTTTCTATCTTTTTCTGAATTTTCAGCCTTCAGCAGTTTCCCAACCACTTCTCTTCGTTGGACCAACGAGCCCCAACGAATCCCCGCACCGGTTTTTAAAACCTCTTCAGCACTATGCCGGTGATCTGTATCGGTCCCAGCCTCAGGTGGTTTCTCCAAATGGGTGAACGATGGAGGGGTCGTCCATGGTCCGGTTTCAGACGGCGGTGAGTGACCTTCTTTTCAAGCGAAGACGAGTGAAGATGTATGGGATGAAGAAGTCACTGAATTAGCACTCTAAACCCACTCTAAACCCACTCTAGGGTGATTTGGTTTAGGAGAGGATGCCTGCGATTTTGTGGACCCTCACAGTTTGGGAGCCAAGACTGCCAAAAGGACTTGTCAGTATGGACAACCTTTGTATGCCTGGTCTAAGACAGTTCCATGGCCATCAGATCAGTTCCATGGCCAGTAGATCCAAGCCATTGTTCCATGGCTTGCCTCGAGACCGACCAATCAAAAGGAAAGGGAAAAAAGACCCAGTTCTTTGATTCATGGGTCCTTCATGAGTCAGTGTGCGTCCTCCATGTTCTTGACTTCTAAGCTTTGCAGGTCAAACCGTTTGAGTCCAAGTTAATATGTTCAAGAAGAGGCGAAGAGGCCCGTGGCCCATCTGTGTCTTTTCATCATTTGCTTTGTTTTTTACTATACATATGCTTTTGGGGGTTAAAAACAGTTGCTTGGTTAGTTGGTATCAAAACTGAACCAGATGGGCGACCCTTGGATTTTGCTTGCTACCTGGACCTTCCCACGGTCGTGTTTGCTCCGGTCCTTCCCGTCCTTCCGGTGTCGTGCGTCGCGGAACACCCATTTGCGTCGACGGACGGTGCAGGTCCCATTTGCGTCCCCTGGTCAGTGATTCCGGCCATCGTCTTCTTCCTCTGGAAGTTTGCCAAGCCTTTGCTCCCCAAGGACGATGCGGGAACGATGCGGGAACGTGACGACTGGTCCCGGTCGGAAGCCATCGGGGTTGGAGCGATGGGGTTGGAGCATGTTGGAGCTACTAGGAACCACGACGTGCCGCAGTATAAAGATGCATGATATAAGTATAACCGAAGACCTAGCTGCTAGCTCGTGAGATCTGGTGAAAGACCCCTGGAACTGGAACTTGGAACTGGAATGGTACACCTCGAATGCTCAAAACAGAAATATCTGGAGAGGATCTGACAATAGATGTTCCCATTTCCTTCAAAACGTGTCCTGGTCTTCTCCCATCTGGTCTTCTGGTCTTCTCAGGAGTGGGCGGAGCGGGTCGAACAGCAGATGACTAGGTTCATGGACTTCTTGCGCGAGAAGGGCGCTCCTCGGTGGATGACCTGGAGAATGGGGGCCGAAGTTCGGCCAGGATGGCTTGAACATGTGCAGCATGAGGATGGGTAATCTGAGTTCTCGGATGGGGAGAATGGTCGGTTCCAGTTGCAACTGCCTAGATGTTAGATGAGAGTTCGCTCCAGATAAACATGTTTGTCTAGGCGCCCACGGCGAAATCCGTGAAACGCCCTGAAACCACGACTGGATCGGTTTCCAGGTGGACTACCTACTGTTACAGTATCTATGTACATGCTGCATCCTCAGTCGCCGTAGCAGGCACAATCCAGCTTACATGACACATCATGACACCAAAAACCCAGGGAAGAAACCAACCATCTCTTTTCCTTCTTCTTGCGTTCGCCGTAGACGAAGGTCCGCGACATCACTGTTCCCAAACTCTTGCCCATGCCTTCCGTCTGAAACAGACCCCATGATGACTCCTTAAGAGGCCACCAAGTGTGGACCCATGCCACCTTTGAGAAGACCCTGCCAAAAACACTCCTACTTTGGACCATTCATTCGGGAGAAACATTGAGCGGTCTGAGGGTGATGAGCATGTCCATTTTCACCCGTGAATGACCCAACAGACCCAGCCCTGAAGTCCACAGAATAGAGTTGGGCACCTCAACGTACCAAATCATGTGAGAGGAGGCCGAAATCTGTAGTAGGAGTCAGTAGGAGTCCCAAATTCACTCGAGAAAATGCACGAGCCACAGCCAAGACTCCGTTTGCTGCGGCCCTTTTCTTGTTTTCCTTTGACGAAGGTGCCAGGCTTCGGAAAGAAGAAGGCAGAGTGGGAACCCACTATCACAAGTCGATGTCGCTGTTGAGATTCTCGTGGAAGTGAGGGCGAGTTGTCTTTTTTGGAGAAGCGAAACGACATTCCTTGCCTGGGATAGAAGAATTGTGTGCCCCAGTATCATTTTTCCCCCGATTGTCAGGTCTGGTGTGGTACTATGACCAGTATGCAGCAGCTTGTAGATGAAACACAGCACAGCCCTGTCTCCAGGGCGCGGCGAGCGCCCCAAACCAAGCCGTCTCTGCAGTGACGTTTGGAGAGGCCTGGGCGAAGTGTGTGGACGCAAAGTGGGTTTACTTGGAATTGCAATCCACCAGTGACACCAGGTTTCTCTACGCTTGAGAGATACCGGTCAGCAAGCATGTGAACATGTTGTATTATCTCTTACAACATTGGGTATTTCACGACAGTGGAGATGGGCATCTTCCAACAAACCGATCGAAGTAGTCCTCGATCTATGCCCAGAGGCCTGGGGGATGTCTAGCTTGGGGATTTGCATCTCAAACATGTGGATCTCCGTGTCCCGGAAAACGGTGTCTCTCCAGCTCCGACGCCCCGACGAGGTGAACCACTTGACCTCGGCGGCACAGCTGGACGAGCTGCAGCGGCGCTCGAAGCAGGTCGCGTGGGAAACACCGTGGAAGTGAGGTCGGACGCACCAAGAACGCATGGAGCGAAGCGGGCACATGGGCAAAGAGCCTGATAAATCAAAAAACAACATCATACATAAACATCATGTTAAATTAAATTGTTTTTTTGGCACATCAACTTTAGTAGGTAGTTAGGTACCGCTAGGTACCCCAACGAAGAGTCGTGTTTTGGCGCTGACAGACGATGACAAGAACACAGCCAACACATATGTTGATCTTGCATTCGCATCGTTTCGATCGAGGTCTAGAACAATCCAATGACGAGATCCTGCTCTCAGGTAGCACGCGATCAACCAATTGCGGGTCAATGACTTCCTCTGTCCGAATCGAACACCGCACCGAACACCCTCCGGGACCCTCAAAACGGGCCGCGTCACGCTCCACCATGGTCACCAGCATGGTGACGTTCCTGTCCGGTGGGAGCCGCTCCACCTTCCGAGCTCCATCGTCTCTCGAGGAGTCCTGGGCCCTGGTCTTGGACTTCACGGCGCCGTGGTGCAAGCCATGCCAGGCGCTGAAGCCCCGCTTCCAGGCCCGCTTCGGGAACACGGGAGACACTCCCAGTGGAGTCGAAGAAGAAGAACGGAGACCGCGCGTGGAATGCGAGGGAATGAGATGAAGTGAAGGGACCAAGAAGGGAATGGGAGAGAGAATTCACGATTTGGGGTTGCTTCCAAAACAACGCATGACACATGTTTGGAACCTGTCCATCGGTAATGGAGAGGTGTGAATTCTTGGGAGATCTTTACGACATAGTGATTTGCTGTAGGCCCTGTAAGCAGCTTGCAAACACCACCAAGCTGCGGAGGCTTGGGGTGATTTTGATGTATTTTGATCGATTTTGCAATTTGTTCCTCCAGCAATAGACATAATATATCGGCCGTTTTAACTCATGCTGTGATGCACGTGCACTATGTTGCGATGCCCGCACATGGTCGAACCATCCAACACCTCCCTCCATTCTTCATACGGCACCATTTCCGGCTCATTTTCTGACTTTGGGGAAGACGCAGACCCCTCGGTTTCTGTTTTTGACGTATGCGGCAACCCGGTATTTCGAGACCTCATGACCCCTATGGTCGGTCCGCAGAGACGGGAGAGGTTTGGACAGTCCTTGATTTTCGGCTGCCACGCTGCATTCCTTAACACAGGTTTGGTGGGCCTCCTATGTATGAAGACAAGCGGTTCAGGCTGCTATGTATGAAAGGCATCACCTTCAAATTCGGAATGTAGCATGCTTTTGTGTAGCCATTGCTGCCTAAAGGGATCAGTCACTGAGGGACTCTCACCTTGGTCTGAAGTCCCGCCAGGAGCTGGCCAGGCAATATCCCAAAGATTGCTTCCTCGAGGCCAAAACCGACTGGGGCAAGGGCGGCAAGGGGCATTGCCGGGTTTGGCCATGAGCTTTTCTACCTCAACAAGATCTTATTTTGTGCAACCAACAATTCACATGTACAGATGAGGCCTTGGCCCAGCCTCCAAAGCCGGCCTTTGGAACGTGGATTTGGGCACCCGAGCAGCTGATTGTCAGCTGACTGTAGGTAGATGCCGATGAGATGGACGACGTGACCGCGAAACACGGCGTAGGGGCCCCGGATGCCGGAGGAGGTGGGGCTGGCGGCTTAAAAGGAGACTGGTGTGTCATTGGTGATTCATCCAATCCACAGTACTTGTAGTACAAGTATGATATAAATATATATATATATAGATGTCCACTGTTCGAAACCCAGTGATTACTCAGTGATTAGTTATGACTGGTTATGACTCATCGGGTCACCAACTGCGAAAGTTAAACCTTTCGCGGTCTGGTCTGGTCCTCTTGCACAGCAGTTCCCTGGCACCATGGAGATACCCTTCGCGCAGGTCCACTGGAAACACATGGACTCCGACCTTTGCTTGCTGAAACACATGGATCAATTGCTACACACTTTCAGCATACGAAACCCCTGCTGATCACTGCAGATCACTGCTGTCAATGAGATCTTGGGGGCCAAAAAGAGGGTCCCGGAGCATCCATGCGCCGTGCCCCGGCGCCGAGGTCATGGGTTTGCCCACCTTCCAAATCTACCGCCATGGCGAACAAGTGACCACCAGCACAGGCGCGAAGGGGCGCTGCGCAGGGGCCGCTTGGAGGTCGAAGAGCTGGTGATTTGGACCGTTTGGGAAGGAGGTGATGCGCCTTCTTTTGACTAGATCCAAGTCCTCTTGCTTGTAGCCAGTGGCAGTGCATAATTTTTTCAGGGGTGGAACTTGCTTCATCATCTCAATTACATGGATTTATAGGTTTTCTTTTCTATTCCTGTACTCTTCCTCTTCCTGTAGGCTGCGACGAGGCAGCCTTGGCCAAGCTGCTGAGTGGGCGCCCCGGGACGCCCTCGGGACGCCGCTCCTGTGGTGTGCTTGGACACATGAGGGACACACATGAGGGAGACTCTGATGGGTTGCTCCGAATGCATTCCAGGCGTTTCACAGCGACCAACACGACCCGGCCATCAGAAAAAGGACACCGAAGACCCCCAGCCTCTCCGCTCCGCCACCTGGCGCCTTCTTCCTCGCTGACCTCGCTCCGAAGCGTGCGGCCGAGGTGAGCACTTGGGAGCTCCCACCGAGGGGAAGAAGGGGCAGTGAAGGAGCCATGCGGTTCCGTAAATCCAGAGATTCGTGCAGATCAGAACAAGCAAGACCTACTCATGAAGAGGGCATTGGGTTTGAGACATCCGTTTCGAAAACAGGGGTGACTCCAGCCTTGGGAGGGTCTGGCTCTCAAGCCACAAACCTTTTCGCGCCCGCGTGAAAAGGTTGCAGTCTGCGAAGAAGGGGCAAGACTCAATCATGGTAAATCGACAGAACACGGCACTGCACTGACAATGTAGTATATGATAATGTTATTGTTGCTGTTGTGGATTTGTTCCGGCAGGAATTTCGGCATATTCTTCGACATGAACACACCTTGCAGTCTGTATGCATCATTCATGACCACTCAGCAACCAATCGCGGAGGCCATCAGATTTGGGTCACTGCTCTAACACTTCAGAAGTCCCCGTCGTCCTTTGGAGAATCGACCTCGGCATTTCCTGGTAGTTTTCCTTTCGACCCATCTGGCAGGTTCTAAAGTAGTTGGTGCAACACACCCACCCTGATGGCAAATAATTCATGTCACCAACTGCCATACTTCACATGTTTGATACTCGACAAGGTTGCTCCTTGGGAAGCAAGATGGCATTGCGAATCGCAAGATCTTTGCTGATTCGTTCCTTTTACTCATGACGTGTTTTCCTCTTTGGGGCTCTCCGATTCACCGGCTCGCTTGTGTCGATCCTGTCATGACCTGCTCACCAGCGTCAAACCAATGACCACTTGCAGCCATTGTGGCTTCTCGGTCGGTCCGTCCGAGTCCGACCTCGATGAGACTGGCCGTCAGACCGAGCCGGCCTGTGGCCACGCCGTGCCGTGCCACCGAGCAAACTGCGAGTTTGCTGGATGTCAAGGCAATAGAGGAGCTCTCACAAGTTGTCTTTTTGGGCTGTGGGGGGGGGCACTTCCACCACGATTCTGTGTTCGAATTTTGGGACATGTCCAAAGGAGTGTTACTCGAAAAATTGATTCCAAAAGCATGAGGCAGGTTTTTAGTCGTGTGTGATGATGGCTGCAATCTAGAAACCAGAACCTCATTTTGAGTGAGATTGCCACCAAGTGGTGCGAAGTCCATCCATTCACCTCAAAGCTGGCCCGGCCTATTGTGGCCGAAAAAGACAAACCATCGCTGGATCCCGGCTGACCGTTCAGGAGCTGTTCGAACGCCTTCCAGAGCACCTGCGCGAGCAAGCTGCTGAAGATCTCAGGAGGCGTTTGAGCCCAGACACTCGGCAGTTACTCTTTCCGGGAGATGCGTCAAGATGTTCAACATGAAAATCGGAAGAGTGATGTCATTTAGCAAGCCCTCCTACCAATCCGGCCCGTGTGCCAGGCCCTGTAAGAGGTGTGGGAGCCCTGGCGGGATAGATTGCATCCACCCAAGCAGATTTTTTTCTGGGAGGTTTCCTGTACCTGTTCGCGAGTTTGGCCATATCCTACCTTCCGGGGTCATCATGCTGTCATAGTGCTGTTGATTTTCTGTCATTGCGACAAGTTTGTTTCAAGTCACTGCAGAGTTGGACCCGCATCACCATATCAAAAGAGCCGAAAAGCGGCGTATGAAGTATGAACAGGTTGAGTTGTCAGAGCTTCTGTTGAATGGATTGATGTTTTTGGCAAACTAGTAAGCATTTGATGTAGGAATACCAGTTGGGAGTAGCAGTGTAGCCTTTCCCTGACGTGTTGTCGAAACTGAAGGAAGTTACAGCATAGATGCAATGCTGGGATACCGATGATGGAGCATTGGAGCCAGAAGAGCCTGACAGTGATGATGAAGAAGAACAGATGCATGATCCAAGAAGAAAGAAGGCTCGGCGTGCACCACCCGTGCCAGATGATGGGTATCCCAAGCACCTGTGGAACAATCAGTTTCAACCAGGATGTGTAGGGTTCAATGCGCACGCTCGCGAGGTGCTGAAGTCAATGTCATGGGACTCACCCACCCAAGGGAGAGTCGAGTTGTTGCCGCAGCAGAAGGTCGTGGCTTCGTTGGTGCACCCTGCTTCGCCGGTGAGCCGCTTGCTATGTGACCACAACACAGGTTCAGGTAAGACCCTATGCATGGTGCGAATCGTGGACAACTTTTACTTCGATGGCCGTCCTAAGGTCCTGGTCTTTCCGAAGGAGACAGTTGCCAACAACTTCCTCGAGTCGCTCTTCCAGTGGCCGTCTAGATGGCGCGACTTTGTGTGCCACCAAAACCCGGCAGCAGCAAGGCTAGCTTCTGACAAGGAGGACTGGTGGCAGGTGCGGCATGACCGATGGCACTTGGATAGATCCGAGGCTTTGCAGCGCCGTGCCAGCTCTGAGGGCCTGGGCCTGCAGCAGGCCATCAAGGAGTTTTGTGTGAACCCCATGCGGGCAACCTTGGAGATGAAGCGAGCTTTCATCCGTGGCAAGGCTTCCACCGCTTGGGTTGACAACTACTGGTCGGCACCGAACCCACGTGAGATCCATCCTCCAGCCGCACCTTTGCGAGCATACCGGTTCACTTCAGCTGGGGGCCGAGCTGCGGAACTCGTGGATGGTGTGCCAAGAGGATGCGTTTTCAAGGCCGGTCCACGCTTTTCTTTTATCAGGCTTTTGGGATTCAGATGTGAAACAGAACCCTTGCCAAATACCACCACAAGAACTTGGAAGCCGTAAGCATAGCTCTGCAGTAGTTGAAGTTGGTTCAGGCAGGCAGGTCTGCACAAACGGGCAGATCCCGGCACACCCATAGCCCATATCGGTCACGCGGTTCAACATCAACTTTGTGTTAACATGCACATCGTGCGCCTTCTCCGTTGCTTTCGCAGGTGGGCTTTGATACGGCGACCAAGAATCCGTATAGTGGCAAAGTTGTGGTCATGGACGAGGGGCATAACCTGACACGCCCGAACCGGTTGTTTCAAGGTCAGCTAGACAACCTTCGTCAGTACATGGAAGGTGCGACCAACACCGTCTTTGTGAGCTGCACTGGGTCAATGGAGGCGGACTCGTCGTCTGACCCACGGAAACTGCTGGATGCCGTGAAGGGCGAGCAGAACCGAGGCCTTACTGATGAAGGGTTTTTGTCCTCTCACCACAAGCGGGGTGCAAGTTTCCCTCTGCAGCAGCCAGCTCCTTGTGCAGATGGGATCTACTCCAGCCAAGTTCAAAGCCAAGTCACTGCCTACACGGAATTGGCTGGGACCTCTCTTGTGAGATACGTGTACCAGGCGATTAAGTTGCAGAAAGAAGGCAAGGGTGAGGAGAGCTTAGCAAACTACACAAACATGTATGTGTATTTCGGCAGCTCGGGCCAGCCAGCTTGCAGACAGACACTGCTGCACAATCCGGAGTCAAGGCCCAAGTTCAGCCCTGTGATTGCAGCAGTGGTGGAAGCCGCAAGCAGAGGCGAGAAGAGTTTGGTTGTGATCCGACGCCAGACAGGGTACAAGGCGTTGGTTGCATTGATGCAACATGCTGGTGAGCAGCATGGTTTCAGCGTTGCTGAGTGCGAGTTACTTGGCTGTGGCAACAACGTGGTGATATGTTAGGTCAGAGAGTGATTCTTTTGTCCACCAGGTTGGGGTTCTAATCGCTGGTCTGGAATCTGGCAGCTTACCAAGCGTTGTTGTGTTTGATGAGCTTGTTCTAGAGATGCGTTTGCCACATGTCGTTCCGGACTCTGTGAGGAACATGGCCGAGTTCAACCACAGGGGCAATTTGCGTGGTCAGGCCTTCATGGTTTTAGTCCTGGAGGCGGAGAAGGGTGGAGAAGGCATTGAGTTTCATGCCGTTCGCCACGCGATCTACCTGGATGTCCCCGAAGGCTTGGCAGTGTACAAGCAAAGGTGTGGAAGAGTAGTGAGGTGCGGAAGTCACAGCAGCCTTCCAGAAGCTGACCGAAGTGTCCGCTTCATGTTCACCGCTGCTCAGTTTCCAGCGTTTGCGCGAACAGAGTCTCTCTGAGTCAATTGTGACGGTTTCTGTTTCAAAGGGTGCCCCTCTACGCATTGTTATATCTCGTGTGCCTCCATGTGTTCCGGATCTTGTTTTGTTGCAGCTACACGTGTTGCAAACTCTTGCAACCGATGCACCAAAATTAGGGTTGGATTCTGCGTCTGGATGTTGTGGGTGTATCTCAGAACAGGCTCCGCTGCAATTCCCTTTGCTGACGTCAATCGAATGAAAGTCAGTCGTTGAAGAGTAACAAACCCCCTGCATAGGCCCAGGTTTAGGGACAAAACTTGAATTTTTTACGGGGTTCCCAACTTTGCCACCGACCGCTAAGGCTCGGAGCTTTTGCATTGCTGGCATGTTGTGGCCAATGGGGTGGGCCGAAGAAGGTCAACTACAACTCCGAGCCATCGCCTGAAGAGATCATCGGCGCAAGCAAGAGATTTGCAAGGCTGGAGTTTGGAGTCCTTCCCATTGTGATTTTTTCATTGAAGCAAACCAAGGATACACCTGGTAGGGGCGAGCCATGCTTTCAACCCATTTTTTGGAGGTGTTTGGTTCTTTGATCGTAGGAGTTGCTCAAACCCACTCCTGTGATGCAACCACAACTTGTGCCGGTCGTCCCACTCCAGGATGTTGGAGCGCCAGAACATCTCCACTTTGGCCAAGTTCCACTCCGCGTGGGGCGTATCCGTCAACGAAGAGCAGGTCATCGGTGAAGACTTCAGCCAAAAACTGAAGTTTCGTTTTCTGGTCATGTTTGAGCGAACGTTGAGAAGCCACAAGGTTCTTTACGGCCTCACCGACTGGTAGATTCTAGAGGATATAAACTAATTTCCAGGGTGGTTTTTTCTACATATTGTTTGAAGGGGTGGTTTTTTGTTGCGCATCGGCTGTTAGAACTGTTAGGGCCCAGAATTTGTTCGGGTGCATTGTTCCCCCAAGTACATCCATATCAAGACTGCCATGGGTCCCCAAATAACAAACACAGGTAGGCATTTGCTGTGGACCACCTAGGTTTGCGGAAGGCCATTGAGGCTTTGGACGAGGACCCTGATGAAGTGAAGGGCCTCATTGCTACCAAGACTTTCGACGAGAAGCAGATGGAGAAATTGAAACTCCAATTCGAAAACATGGCCCCATCTTTGGCCAAGATTCGAGGGGGTGCACTCGACGTTGGTTTTTATTAGCTCTTGAAGATGCACAAATTTCGGGGAATGCTTGCTTTAGCATGCAAAGCATGTGCACAAGCCTAGGTTTAATGGAACAGCCTGTGTAGTGGTGTGTCCGCTTGATCACGGACTGTGGAGCGCTCGGGGGACCAGCTAAAGACAAAAAACTGGAGCGGGTTTGAGCCTTGCAGCAGCGGCGACTATCTCGATGCCGCTCACAGGCGGGGATGCCCATAATTAATTCCTTTTCCATGATTTGCAAGTGGGGACAGTCAAAGAAAGAAGCGTTTAGATGCGGTTGTAGTCCTGAAGGGCAGAATCAACGCCAGTGCGTGACATGGGTTGGAAGTATATTTATAGTTGGTTTACAGTTGCTAGACAGTTGGCAAAAGGGGGTGTATAAACTAATGAACAGCAAAGTTCTCATTTCCATTCCCTTAAAAATTTCTGTATGTTTTCATCAGGCAGCCAACATTTCCAAGAAGGTGCGTCGTTACAGTTGTTGCCTTCGCTGCACGCGGCTTTGAGCATTCTTAAACAATGACAATGAGCTCATGATTCGAACAGATAGTCAGGTTCAAGGTGGCATCAGCTCCAACCAACTCAGGCCCACAATTTTGTCAGTTCTCCTTGGACTCGAATCTGGCTTGGCCCACAAGACCTCAGTACACTTGCCTAGGCATAGATGAGCAATCCGCAGTGTGGTTTATGATGATCATGTGCAGGTTCAACCCATTGTTGTTGAATCATGGGTATCTTGCTGAAACCGCCGTCGCAATGGTTGCCAAGGTTCATGAACACCCTCAGAGAGATTATTATGATTATTATTCATTTCATTTCATTGGTACTCACTGACTCTACATAATTTGATTGACTTTTGACTTTTGACCTTCAACTAGTTTACAAACAAGTCTCAGAGAAGAACACCCGACTTGGACGCTTACAGCTGCTTACGGCCGACCCCCCGTCCATCATGGCGCAGGACAGGGTTTGAGAGGGTTTGTGAGGGTTCGTGTCGTCTCCCAAGGTACCAGGGGCGGCCAGCATGACCATGTTCTGCGCAGAAGTCTATTGGGGAGGTTTGAAGGGCCGCATTTTGACAAGGGACATGCTTTTAATCGGTTTTTGAGGGCCATGAGATGTTCAACCATGTTCAACCCAGAGGAGCTGGTTTTTGGAGGTTGGAGGGGTGTAGTTTTTTGGAGGTTGGAGGGAAGTGTGGAGCCAAGAACACGGAATGTCAGGGAGCTTCATGTTTTTTTTTTTTCGTCGCTCATGAAACCGTTCCATTCCATTCTTGCAAGGATTGCGCTTTGAATTTGGATAGATTTGTCCTCCGACTTGGCCTGCATTTTACAGATGTATTTCATGATGATTGCCTGGATTAGACACTCATTTATTCCAAGTTCTAACTGATGTATTCCAAAGTATTTTAGGCCAATCCTACTCCAAGTAGGTGAACTTCAACGATGGGTTGGAGATCGTGATGGTGTTCCCGAATGACCCCTTAGAGGAAGTGAAAACTCCACACATTTGTAGAGAATGACTCCTCCACAATTGACACTGAAGAGGAAATGAGTCACTACAATGATTTAGAACTTGACTTTATAGTCATTCTCATGAGCAGTTTTGATTCATGTGGGCGAGCTATGAGAAGTCTGACGTGGCCGAAAAGCACGAGCTTTGGTGCAGGAGAAGGGGGAGGTGAAAGCTCATCCTTTCTTGTTCGAGGATTCCTTTCAGGCACCAGACAGGGCTGGCGGAAAATGGGTCATTTGCCTAGCACGGCATTGGTGGTCTTAGAGACAAAAACAGAGACAAGGACCTTTCTATACATAGAAGTTGAAAGAAAAAACATGATCATCTTGCTTCTCCCCATAGCCAGTGTGTGATGTTCCCTTGGTGAACCTTTGGCTGGAGAACAGGACGTGGCCCGTCCGACCTCGACGTCAGCCCCAGAGTCCGCCTGTTTCGAACGGAGGTGGAGACCGAGGTCAAGCCGCTTCACGGTGGACACCACCACCCCCAAACTCGACGCAGAACGCAGAACGCGGGTCGGGGGACTGGAAGATTTGACCCTCCATTCGGGTGGTTGAACGACGGGGGGTCTGGTTGTAAAGGCATCTCGCTTCCGGTTCCGTGGAGGCGGTAGGTTCGGTAGCTTTCGGCTGCGTACGTTCTCCCACAGGTGAAGAGCCAGGAGCTCAGTGGGATCGTTCCACCCGGGCGTTGGAGGTCGAAACTTGGGATTCGTCGATGTTGCCTCTTGCCCACCGGCTATTTTTCTTGGAACTCCTTTTTGAACCAGATTTTTATTTGTAGTTTTATGTTCTTTGTTGGCCCGCTCTTTTGAATGCGAACAGCCACAGGGGCGAAGGCCACTGAGTGGATCTGAGTCAATCACCCTCGATCTATTGGATCGATATCCTTCCACAGAAAGTGAAGGTCCAATTTAGCAGATGCCTTGTTGCTGGCGAACACGTTAGGCAAAGTGTCGGGCCCCCCCAAACCTGGCCCTGTGGGCCAAAACTGAGCGGATCGTTGGGAAGAAAGTGCGACTTCTTGGAAGTATACAAGTCTATTTTTGGCATCCGTTTTCTTTCTACCAATTTTTCACATTGGATGTGGCTTCAAACATGTCCTTCCTATACAAGGTTCCTCGCTGGGTTGGGATGGTACTCTGGTACTCGATCTCCTTCGACCTTTCAGCCGACTCCACGGTCGCCAGCTGTGGACAACAGTCGCTTCGAGCGTGCGGGGCGCATGGACTGCGAGTCCACGACCTTCGCAGAGAACAACTTGGAGATCGCCGCTGTGCTGTGAGATTGACCGAGTGGCTGAAGCGGACGGTGGAAAGGGGGAAATGGGGTGAAGTCAGAGAGGCAGTGGATGATGGAGGGATTTGGGCGCATTTGGACTTCTCCTTTATCTCCTTTTTGGGCCTCTGAGCCTTTTTGGCAGAGCAAAAAGAGACATCATGAAGCCTTCTGTCTCGGGCTCGCATCTGAGGACATCAACAACATCATCTACCCTGTGACGCCAGGAGGGGATGAAGATTCTTGACGGCTTGCCATGGTATGTTCATTCAGATTACTCTCCCAGGTTTTTCTTAAGCAAAAAGTAGATCCTGCCTCTGAAGACCGTCAGAAGTCTAGCAGAAGTATCCTATGAATCCCGGTGTTTTACTGGGGAAACGATGGTGTTCACGGTTGAAGATGGAAGGGCACCAGATCCATCCGATATAATGGTTGATCTGAGCCTTAATGTCTTGGACTAGCTGAGCTGTGTTATCCATCTACACACGTAACGACGTCACCCGTCATGTTGTTTCGAGGAGAGGAGAGGTATATAGGTTGTCTGGGGCTCAAGAGCAACCCTGAACGACACGAGTGCCACAGGTGATGACTCAAGAAAGAACGCTCAACAAAACGGACAAGACACGCTCAGAACTGCTGGGGTAGGAGGTTGGGGGACTTCCAATGACTTCCGACCGAAACCGCTCAACCATTCAGATCCACGAAGTTGCCCTGGAAATCCATCAAGAATCCGGAGAAAGCAGCCTCAACTTTAGTGACTAAAGAAATCGCCATCAAACATGGAGAATCTCTCAGTCTCAACTCCTCGTGACGTTTTTTTTTGTGGAGTTTGGGGGGGTGCAGAAGTTTGTCAAAAAGAGCCCTGGGATGCACTGCTGCACTGGCGACCGAAATACATGTGATTCGAAAAATAGGTGGATGCAGTGAAAACTATTATCATCTCAAATAATCTCAGATAGACACGGATTCCAATCAAATTCATGGTGCTTGCGACCAATTTTGCTATTGTGTCGATTTGGGGACCAAACCGCGGCGCCCACAACCGTTCCTCGGCATCTTCACATCGGAACGAGACGAGACGAGACTTGGCTGCGAGGGGAGCAGATCTATGTGGCCATCACCAACAACGTGAGCTCAGCGGATGAACCCCGATCGCTCACGCCACCTGAGCCCGTTTGAAGGGGGTTGAGACCCTTCTCGGAGAGTGAACTCTGGTGCGCTCGGAACGGAGAGAAGATGTTTTTCCAACAATTGCCACGTGTTCGATGGTTTTTGCCAGTCACTTGATGTGCTCAGCTCTAGCTGAGTGCATGGAGAACTTTCTGGACATCTCCTTTCACACCACATTGGCTCCCCCGAACCAGTGGTTTTCCCGGACCGGAAGTACTGCCCTCCGCCAGGACAGCCTACGACCATGATGAGCGGCTTCTAGGGCCCTCAGTGATGGACCAGTTCGACTACGTGATGTTTGGAAAGGCACACCCGTACGGTCGACACGACGGCGTTGCATGTGGTCCTGGGTCCTCGGTTCGGAACAACCCGTCGGGGTGAGACGGAAGCCAACTCACCCAAACCGCGTGGGCAGGACATCGAGTGATGAACGGGCAAGACAAAGGAAAGGGAGGGGTCAAATGGGCGGAGCAGGATCGTTCGCAGTGGCATAGGGTTGCTTGATAGAATGATGATCCATTTTTTGCACTTCCTTTTTCTCATCTTCCCATGCGGAGTTTTTGTACTGTTTCATGGGGGTCACAGGGTTTTATCTAGCTACGGATCACCATGTCGAATCGCCTGTGCTGAGGGTGGTTGCCATGCATTGGCGCGCCAAAAAGAGAATCGAAGAGAAAACTGCTGCAGACGAGGGGTATGAGATCCTTCAGATGTGTTTTCGAAGATTGAAGGATAGACCAGAGCTTCCAATTAGGTTAAGGCGGTTAAGGCTACTTTAGTGACGCAGCGGTCCTATACCAACATCGTTCGCACTTTAATGCATGGTTCATGCCGTGCCGGCGCAAGTTTGGTTGGTCCTCGATGATCACGCAGGCCAGACAGGACTAAGAATATAATATTCTTAGGCTGGAGGTGAAACCCATCCTGAAACATCTTGAAGCCGTTTGAAACCACACTTTTTGTCAAAAAGGCCACCGGCGCCGGCTAGCACAGATGGACATATACAGTCCCATTCTGCAGCACCGGCGGTCTGAGAGCCGCAGCCCGGAGGTCTACAAGAAAGAGGTCAAAAAGGAAGACAACTTGGCCGTCCGGCGACCCATTTTTCCGCCACGATGGGTCGAGTGGGTCGACATATCGATGCATCACCTGTGATGGACATCAACCCCCTCTAAAATATTCTGAACTTATTTCAATGTCTACTTGGGGAAGCACTCTAGTTTGGAGGTGGACATTTACACCATGAAACCATCTCACCAGTGTCCTGAGTCTCGGTGGCATCGTTTTTCTCGGTCCCTGGTAGCTCCCGATGGTTTCATTGGAGTCGTGGCTCAGCACCCAGAAAGGGCATCGATATGAACGGAGGCGATGGGGTTGGAACCGAACGGGGGCGCTCCATGGCCGTAGGCTGCTAGGAGCGTCATGTTCGCCCTACTCGGAACCAGAAGCTGCTCTGGCCATTCTTTCTGTCTGGACATGGCCATGTGAGCTAGATAGCGACTGGTGCTGATAGCTTGCTCGGCTCACATGTCGTGTGTTCTTCAATGGCCATGTTCGCACGAGACGTATGAATCCTACAGCACCAGAGATGTTCGTCTACAGCACCAGATGCATTGTTAAGAACTACGACACAAACCACACTGCTAGACCTCTCTATTGAGGCATCCAAGTGCTCAAGAGCAGACCTCTCTTCAGCTGGATCGCGCGAGCTCGCGCGGAGCTGAAGAGGTCGTCTCAGCGCTTCGCACTTCCCTTGCTTCAGGTGGTGTGGGCCTCTTACGGTGGACTGCTCATGAAGCCTCTCAGCAGAGAAATTGGAAGGGGGAAACCCTCCCTTCCTGGCAGTATCGGGTGCTTGATATCGGGCTCCAGTCATTTTGCCAGATGTGTTTTGAAGGATGTTGAGGGGAACATCTATATACAGGAAACCACATAGTTTTGGATGTTCAAACCAAGGTTTCCTGATGTTCCCTGTAGATGTTCCCTTAAGCCTGACAGGCAATTGATTGATTGATTGTTTTGTTTTTTTTGTTTTCTCAACTGCGGTTCACTGGGTGGTGGACAGCGCGGATCTTCCATCAGCCTAGACTCTCGGAGATGTATCCATAGGTGAAACAGACCACCACTCTGGAGATATATGCTTTGCATTGCTTTGCTCATTTCTCTACGAAGGTTTCAGGGGTGTATCGTGCGCCTGGCGCCTATCACACGCATAGTTGCATATTGTTTTTTTTTCCAAGCTTCCCCTGAATTGACATGTACTCTAGAGAAAGCGACTTGAAGAAATTGGCCTTCAGCAGAAGTGCTCCCCAAGAGACCAGAGGTGCAAACAAGTGCATTGTCTTTGTGGTGCTTAGCGCGGCACAAACACGGCCACGTCCCTCAACCGGCACCAGAAGTAGTAAACACCCACCCACAACTTTGTCGCAATCAAAGCACACCAGACGCGCGCCTGTGAGGCTCAGAGCACAAGCGCCGCAATTGAATGACTGCCCCGGGGCGTTTGAAGCGCCGCTGTGTTGGGACGCGTTCTTTTGGAAATAGTTAAGGAACACGGGATCACACCTCTACAAGAGCCAAGCAAGACCCAGCTAGACTCGCACAAGAGTTTGAGACTGGATTACCTGGGATGGGTTCAGCATGCATGTATATCCGAAAACGAGCATCCACCCCACAAGCGATGGAAGTTCTAGTTCTTGTTGTTGGGATTCGCCGGTTTCCCCTGAGAGTGGAATCTAAATCATTATCATCATCAATCACAACATGAATATCAACATAAGTTACATGAATGTGTGCTTGGCTTCCCAAGTCGGAGCTTCTTGTATCTCGTCATTGTTCTCTTCAATCATCTATGCTTGGGTTTGGAGGGAGATGGTCCAAATAGGTCTCAACCATGGTGCCAGAACCTCAGCTGGTGATACTGTTGATGGACGAATTTCCAGGATCCACCGTGCCGCATAGACGAAGAGAAGTGGGACTTCTACGGTGGAACACGTGTTGCAGGGTTGTGCATTTACCCTCCATCCTGTATCTCAAGAACAAAAAAGAATTGCCGAGCAGGGAAGCTTAGGATGAATAATATGGAAATGGATGGCATGGTCTGAAACTCCCCTGCCAACACCATGTGAACCAAGCGAATGCGAACCGGTGTCCTGCGGAAGCGACACATGCGACAGACAGGAGTTCCACCTGAATGACAACATCTACTTCATGATGCGAAAGGCCCAGGCTGACGAGCAAGATGGCTGAGACATGCCTGGACGCCTGGAAGCGAGAAAGAGGAAAAAGAGGTGGCCCGTTTTGGTGTGGAAGAGCCTGCACTGTTTGCGCACGTCCGGAGTTTTGTGCAGGGTCGCGGGAGAGAGCCAAGGCTGAAGATGCTTCATTTGTTCAGGACATCATCTCGATGCCAAGAATACAAAACAACAATAGCATCCCTGCCAGATCGACCGAGTTGCCCCTGCCCTATTTTTTCCAAAAAGGCTATCTGCATGCAGAATGTTTGTTCCTTCCGCTGCTGCGAAGAGCGAGCGAAGTTCATGCCGACCTATGAAAACTGGTCCGTGACCTTTATGAATGGGAACAAGCATGAGACCAAGCGAGTGAGCCACCAGACCCCCGGGCTTGGTCCCCTGAGAGTCTGGGGAATGGATGGATGAATGGATGGATGGATGGAGGGTCATCCGAATTGAGATCCAGGGTCAGCATGCCCTCTTGTTGAGTAGACGACAGCCCCAAGATGTCTTCAGGGTTGGGAGGTCTGACCAGCCGGGAGTATATACTATATATATATATATATTTGGGTTTGTGTATATGTTTGTGTTCAGTTATATATACCATATACTTTACTCCAACTTATTCAGAGTTCATTCAATTTGTCCAAATGTCTTCCGCATTGTCCGGCATACTTTGCGAGCACCGAGCAGAGCCTCTTGGAGTGAGCCCCAAGTGGCCATAGTCAGAAACAGAACCGGTTCACCAATCAAGCTGTGCATACCTGCCAAGATGTATCCCACTCTATGTCCTGCGAACATGTTCCGCTTTCCACTGTAAGACGCATGGCATGTTTGCTTTGCTTCCTTTGCATAGCATGCATAGCTAGTTCCTACACCAACATCTATTTGTACCTTCAGCATCTCTCCACCCAACACACCCAACACGCAGCCACAGACGCGGCCCCGTCACCGACGACTCTTCTTGTTTTTTCCGCGCTCGAACAGAGCGCTGCGCATGGCCTGCAGGCAGGGGCAAGAGGGATCACGAGGGGCGAGGGCAAAGGATTTCTGTTTGTCCCAGACTGACCTGGTTGTTGGTGACATGTGGTGAAAGTGGATTCTTTCCCTTTTTATGATAGCCCGGGATGTTTTGGTGTGTTTTTTCAGGGTGGCTCGAAACCTAGTGCAGCTGTGATTTTGCGGTGACTTTGAGAATCGTTACGTCTTGCAATGACTCGTGAAGCCACCACTTACGGCCATGCTCAGCGTTTCGGACCCGGTTGGGATGAACATGCCATTGGCCTAAAGCGGAGGGAACACAGATATCTGCAGCTTCACTGACAAACTGTGCCATTGGCCTTTAAGCTTATGTTTATTGGGGGGCAGCCACAGGCTGGCAAACTAACGTGACTGGCGTTCGTGAACCGCGCCAGTGTGGCGAAGCTGTCGGGACAGATGCTTTGGGGAAAAGAGTCGAGTCGAGAGAGGAGTGGTTTTATACCTGAGAGTCTTCTATATATACTATGACTATATGATTATGTTTATGATGTACCTTACAGCCTAACTCTGAAATCTCAAGGATTCATAAAAAAGCAAAAAACTGGCAAAACCACACTCACAAAGGATTACCAGGAAATGCAAAAGAAATGCATTAAAAAAGGCAAAAAAAAGGCAGCTGGTCAAAAAGAGTGCATATCAAAAAGCAAAAAACATGCAAAAAGGATGCCAGAAAAAAAAAGCAAAAAAAAGGCAGAACAGCAGTTCAAAAAAAGCAAAAAACATGCACATGCACAACCAAATTTCACACACCACTTTTTTTGTGCGATTTTTTTGCATTTTTTGTGCGATGTTGTTGCATGTGTTTTTTGCATTTTTTGTGCGTTGTTGGTGCTTGTTTTTCGATTTTTTTTTGCGTTTTCTCAAAAAAAAACGCAAATACAAAGAAAAAAATGCAAAGGCAAAGACCAGAACGTGTTTGATCGCATGTGTTTTGCTTTTTGATTGCATTTTTTGTGCATTTTTGTTGCATTTTTTGTGCATGTTTTTTTGGCATTTGTTGTGCGTTTTTTGCATTGGTTTAGTGGACAAATGCATTTTTTTCGCTTTTTTTTTTTGGCATCTTTTTGGCATTCCAAGGCATCCTTTGGTGACTTGTTTTTGCGTTTTCTGTGCATTTTTTTCGGGATTGGTTTTGCATTATTTTTGCATTGTTTATGCATGTTTTATGTTTTGCTGTGTCATCAGAACTAGCTTTAGCGTACATCATAAGATTATGTGAACATTTCTCAAGAGTGACAATGGGAATCAGCTAAAGTTAGCTGAGCTAAAGCAAGAAGGATCGTCTCGGGCGTCAGAACCATGTTTTTTATCGATTGTTTCTGAGGAAACAGAGGATCTGAAGATCAGATCAGATCATTTTGCGGAGCCCCTGACCCGGCCCCCAACAATTGTTCGGGCTGTTGGTGGCTCAACTTCTACAACCCCCTGCAAACCAAATGACTCCCGTTCTGTCGGTCTCATTGGCGTGACCGGTCGGTGACCCTTCGCCGACCGTCGGTGCCAGGCACCATGATTTGGGACGCGAGCGATGCCAACCCCATGCATCGCCGACTGCCGGCCGAGGCGACGAAAGACGAACAAGCGACAAAACAAACTCCACCTGGTTCCGGAACCGGTTTGAACGAACCGTGCTCGGTACCTGGCAGGGCTTCATGGCTTCATATGCTTTCATGTAACATAAGAAGAACTCTTCCCCAAACCTCATCCTTCTATTCAGATCTAAATAGCAGCTGCTTCGGTCTGCTGGACCCGGTCAGATCCCCACCCCACCCACTGTCTCGCCGTCGCCGTCGCCGTGTCTCGACCCCAGGTGGTCTCGCGGCGCCGTACTGAGCCGAAGACGAAGACCGAGTCCAAGGAGAAGAGCGACGAGGCGGCGGGACCGATCGGAGGGACGGGCGGCTTCCGAGGGGGGGAGAGAGTGTCCGCGGCTTGGTGTGCAGGTGCGTGTCCCTTTTTGTGGGAGGTGCAGTGCGGGGGGTGGAGGATTGGAGGCTTCTTAGGAGGTGAGTCGCTTTGGAAGCAAACAGACGGGAGGAAAGTTGGAAGAGTGTGATTTTCAAGTCCCGCCTTCTTTGGCTGGGCCTCATCTGCGCAAGCTGGCGTAAAAATGACCTCATTCTGAGATGAAGCCGCGTACGAACTGTTCTTTAAGCATGGTATCTGCAGGAGAAAAGGTCATGGGGAGAAGATTTGGGGATGGTAGGTCAGCTCCAGTCACTAGTCAAAATCAAAGCAGACCTGTTGTATTTGCTGTCATTTGCTGCAGCTCCAAAAGTAGTTCCACCCTTGCAAACTCTTTCACATTGATTCACCTCATTTGAGTCGTTTTCCGAGAGCTTCACTCTTCGTCAGAGAAGTCGAGGTCACCGTGGACTTGAAGACGGCAATTACCTTGAAGCCGGAGGCACGCACGAAGTGGCTGAGCAAGGCCGGTGGGTTCTAATTTTTCCGCGCAGAGGTGACATGCGGAGTCGCTTCCAGGATTGAAGGACGGGTTTCTGTTGGATCACCTAATTAGTCGCTGGAACACATTGTCATACATTGTCTAATTAAACATGTTCCAAACATTTTAAACATCATGAGATCGGATGACAGATGAGTCACAGGTTCTTAGGATTCAATACTCCATATGGTTGACGATCTGACGAACTGTGCAGCGTAATTACTATTTGCACCGGCGAAACACCGACATGGCTGCCAGCCACAGGCTGCGCTCCTTGGCCCTTGTTGGAACACGTCCCCAAGGGGGGGGGTCGGCACCCCAAAGTTTCAGACCTCTTCCGTGTCGAACACCCTGAAGTTCTCACCTCATCAGCAATAAAGGCCCTTGGCCTCCACGTCGAGTCAGCCGAGCAGCTCCGACAAGCCGTCGACAGGGTCGGCGCAGAACCCGCCGACCTCAGGCCTGTGCCATGGTGGAGCAGGGCAAGGCGAAACCCACCGACCTCTATGACATCATCACCAACCGCCCCTTGCCGCATCGAGGTTTACAAGCCCGGAAGAAGGCAAGGCGTTGGGGGTGGCCACACCATGCACGGATCGGCCGACATGCGCGCCGAGGTAAATTTTCGGGCGGCCTGCCGAAAGCTCAGCCAGTTAGCTTGCCGTCATCATCGGGATCATTTGGAACAGAGCTGCTTTGCAGGTGAGTATTGCTTTCCTCATTTCAAGCTGTGAACATGTGTTATTGCCAGTATTGGTAGCATGCTGCATGCTGTGAATTTTTCAAGAAGCTTCTCGTGCACGCTTCATCTGACCAGTCGGCCTACTGGATCACAAATTGGAGCAAGTACAAGATCACATATAATATATATAATATGTACGCAGGTGTTTGTTAGATTCCATGAACGAACCATTTCGAACAAATTGAATGTGTTTAACAGTTTAGTTCATTTGTTGGTGAAAATGGAAAGAAATACACAAGTGCCTTTGCTCCCATGTGGCGGGATGTGGCGACTCCACCCCAACGTATGATCATATATGCAGTAGAGAGTTGTTTTCGCAGAATTCCAATGTGTTGGAAGCAAAAACACATCACAGGGTGTCCTGAAACAACCATGATGTGGAAGACTCTTCATCTACCATCCTTCATTCTCCCAAAGACCCTTTCGACCTCTCAAAGAAAACTTTCAGCGGCCGGTGCCCACAATGACCCCGCCGTCCACACCCCGCCGACGGTGGTCTTGTTCCGAAGCCGTCGAGCCGAAGGCCGCGCGCCCGATCCGAGGCCAGACCGAGTGGGCCGAAAACTGGCCAGCATCCTGAAAGAGAGTTCCTGGGCCGTTGAAAGGGGGTTCTCTGGGCCTTTGACAGAGATAAATAAAGCAGGAGGCCTTCTGAATCTTGGAAAGAGGGTGAAGAGTGGTTTCTTGAAGTTGAGTGGGTGACTTGAGAAGTTGAATTGGTTTGGCTTTGCTGTTTTTGGGAGGCGACGATAGGAGGTCAAGTGTCTTTCAGTTGGAAGTCTGACAAGATAAGTTACGAAAGCCAGCCTTCGTAGAAGGCGCTAGCGGAGTTGTGTTTGGCGAACGAAGTGAGTAGTTAGGGGGTCTGGGGGGGTGGCCTGGGAAAGGTACACGTAAACTCGGCACATGCTGGGGGAGGAGGGTGCGTCGAGGGAAGGTTTTTTGAGGTTGTGTTGGAGGTGATTTTTGAGGGGTGGTGATGCAAGAAATGCAATCTGCATCATTTGCATCATCTGAATGGAAAGGTGTAGTTGGCACCTTGCCAGGTATAGAGACCCAGGGTAGCTA